TTATCAATGATATAATAAAAAAGCATTATAAAAATGCGAAAGCATAGCTTATATATTATCCCTTAAATACTATAATTGGTAGTGAATAAGGCATATATTTCTTGTAGAGATATTACTAGAAAATACGGGATCAAATTTGAGAATATCTTTAAAATAAGATCTAATCCTTTCTGAACCTACTCATATTAATTTTATAATGATTTTGAGGGGCATGGAAATTTTTCATGTAGAACTGTAGCAATACAGAACAAGTATCGATGAGACGTCTTCGCAGGGATCTACATTGAGCTTTGCTCGTTGAACCGGACCAGTGAAAATAGTCGAAACCCCTGATGTCCAAGACATAAAAGACATTTATGGACCTCCACAAGAGAATTAGAGCCTCAGAATCTGTTGCTCACCCTCTCTGAAGAGGTCCATTGCTACACAAGAAGTCAAATATCGCTGACACTGGCGGTTCCATCTCCCTTCGCCTCTATTCGACTTATTTTCTAGAGCCGACAAATCAGGATTTCGAAAGACGATGAAGACACTAAATTGAAAACACTTCGAGCCCATATTTCAGTATTTGCTCTGTGCAGTATATCATTTCATATTTTCACCAGAGGGCCTTCCACAGTGAAGTATGAATGTGAGAGCAACAGAGCAGCTACTGCATGGTAGTGAAATACATTTCAACGGCTCATGATCCCCCTGGCAAAGAGACATATTATGTTCTGTCCAGAATCAGGAATAGCTCATCAAGCACAGAGAGTACAGGATCTTTACAACCCAACTGACCGTCAGCATTCGGGTTTTGCAGCTCGTGAAACCCGACCATGCTCGTCAGCTCCAATGCTAGACGGGGTTCGGAGTTGCATTTGGCCCTGGGATCTGTTTACACACTCGAGATACCTCTCCAGACGGAGTTAGACTTGCCGAGAGTACTTCGCAGATGGACTTGTGGGTTTCTCTTTTGCTACGCTCGGGAACTGTTCAGTCAGCACCTTGCATGCAGCTGTGCACTCAGACCTGTCACCCAGACCATATAAGGCAACTTTTCGGCTCTAAAAGAGAGTGTCCATCGACCCTGCTACATCAGCAAGTCCTGACCTGCGCTCTTTTGCGATCGATAAATAGCCCGAGAAGGTGAATGGGAGCAGCCGCGAATCTGCCAATGGGTAGTACGTAGCATGCAAACCCAACCGAGACAGAAGGTAAGGCCGAAAGGTCTGACGAGGCCGAATGCTTGCCTCCCGTGAGACTACCCATGGACTGGCCCAAGTCGAAGAGATATGGGCATATTATCATTGTCAGCCTCTTGACACTGGTTATGTATGCTGGCCGTTCTCTGTTGACCCTGGTTTTAGACGCTGATTTTGTGCTGCTGGGAACCTATCTGCCACCATGTTTGCTCCCAGAGCGGAGCTACTTGCGAAAGATTTTGGCATCTCGAATAGCGTGGTAGCGTCCTTGATGGTGAGCATATACATGCTTGGCTTGGTATGCGGGCCACTCCTCGTTGCTCCCTTGTCAGAGTTGTACGGTCGGTTGATACTGTACCATGTCTGCAACTTTGTATTCCTTGCTTTTACCCTTGGATGCTCAGTCAGTACAGGCACCGGTATGTTCCTCGCCTTCAGGTTCCTGGCTGGCTGCGCAGGTTCAGCTCCTCTTACCATCGGAGGAGGGACAATTGCCGATGTCACAACCCCATCTCAGCGAGGAGCTGCCATGGGACTTTTCTCCCTCGGTCCCGTTTTTGGACCATGCCTTGGACCCGTAGCAGGCGGTTTTATTGCTGAATCTGTGGGATGGCGCTGGACCTTCCGCGTGCTTGTATTACTGGTGCGTACCAGGCCGTCAGGCTGTTTTTCCATTGTAGCGCAGAGCGTCTGACTAGGGATACAGGCAAAGCATGGCACACTTTCCATCGCAACATTGATCTTCATGCGAGAGACGAAGGTCAACATCGTGAGCAAAGTGAAGACAATCTCCGTGAACCCCGGCGAGGCGACTCTTCCACCCGGTGGACACGACCGGCCGTCACATATCCGGTTCCTCTTCACAGCACTATCTCGACCACTTCGACTGCTCTTGTTCGCGCCTGCGATCCTGCTGCTGAATGTCGCTGTCGCATTTGCGTTCCGTCTGTCGTACCTGCTGCTCACCACTTTCCCTTCCGTGTTTCAGCAGCAGTATGGGTTCTCAACCGGGATCGCGGGTCTCAGCTATCTCGGAATGGGCGTTGCTATGCTTAGTGCAGTCGTGATCTTCAGCACAACGAGTGATAAACTTCTGCAATGGCACCAGAGGAAAGGAATGGACGGACCAGAGAATCAATTAGCCCTGATGGCGTTGTTCGCGCCTACAATTCCCGTCGGCTTTTTCTGGTACGGGTGGGCGGCTGACCGGGGAACTCACTGGATTGTCCCAATCATAGGGACCAGCTTCATCGGCTTCGGCAGTATGTTTGCGATGGTATGTACATCTGTCGCCACTGTCTGGGTGGTTGATCTGATTTTATACCTAGATGCCGGTTCAGCTTTACTTGATTGACGCTCTCGGACACGAAGCTGCCGCTTCTCGAGTTGCTTCCAATACAATCCTGCGCTCGGTGGCAGCGGCTCTTCTCCCGCTTGTCGGACGGCCCTTGTATAGTGCCCTTGGACTGGGTTGGGGAAACAGTCTCCTGGGTTTTCTGGCCCTCTTATTTGTCCCTGTTCCGTGGTTGTTCTACAGATACGGCTCGAAACTCCAGCAGCAGAGGACGGCCTAGAGTGGTACTTACCTTGGGAGCCGAACGGTATCTGAGTCTGCCAACCTGCAGTTCGTGCTGTACCAGGAAATAAATCATTGCCACTGCGCGGTGCTTTATCGATGGCACGCTGCAAGCCTAGGCTAACTTGCGAGGGTTATGCATCACTGACTGGAGCAAAGGTAAAGGCGTTACCAGCCCAGAGTCTGACTACAATCTAGATGCTCAAAACTTGTGTGTTGTACCACTCTAGAGATTGTTGATATATCACGTTTGGATTGAGTTAATCTGTAGTGGCCTAGCACTTCTCGTGAATACTTGGGTATTTCGTAAAATTCAGCACGATCGGCAACTCGGACATATCGGTATCCCGATGTACCGATGATCCGATGCCCCGATCCCCTTGATTGCTGTATACTCACATATCCTCTTCCTCTGTCACGGGCATGCAGGGGCATTTCGTGGGGCAACCTGCAGATCATGCCTTTTACGAAGTTTTGGCGTAGAATGGTAGTACTCCTTTGGGCGGGGGCAAGACCTCTACCCTGTTACATGAGTATCTCCCACCAATCTGCAACACAACTCAAGGCAGCCCATTTGCGCAAGCTGAAACACTACAGGAAAGGTCAGGCCATACTGTTTTAGGGAGCACTCTGTTTGTTTATGGTCACTCGCAGGCAGTTAAGCTACATTGCTCGCAATCCAATTCAGTATTCAGTGACAGTCATGTCTCCCCCTTTGCCGGTCCGATTGACCTGCCAGGCTTGCACGCGTCGCAAAGTGAAATGCGACAAGAAGAGCCCCTGCACAAACTGCCTAAAACACGGAATTTCGTGCATTACTATTGAGCGGCCACGTTGGCCACGCGGCCGGTCAGGAAAACAGGCAACAGGCCGAGAGGAAGATCTGCGCAATCGTGTAGCGAAGCTGGAGCAGATGATACAGAACTTCACGCAATCGGCGAGAGGAACGGGCGATGTGTCTAGCAGCTGTTGCGAAACTATCACGCCTCAGAGTGGACGATCGCTGTACTCACCGTCGGAAACCGTGCAGACAACTGAAAAGTGGTTTGTTCCACAGCCGGTGAGCAAACTGTCCTCGATAATAGGGACAACTCTCTAATCAGAGAAATAGTCATTGATTCCGCGGTTCGCCGACATCCTAGACGAGGCCCCGGGCAGCGGGTTTGCCGGCCACACAGACGATCACCGGGAGCCACTTTCGGAGCCAGTGCGTCGGAAGATACTCCTCGAGATTTTCCTTCATCAAGTCGACCCGATCTTCAAGATCTTGCACCGGCCATCTCTCTGCGCTTATCTCTTGGAGGGAAAGCCCTACTTGGACTACGCCAGAGAGCATCCCGTACCTGCTGCCCTAGCCTCTGCTGTGTTTTATATGGCCAGCTCGACCCTGCCTGAAGACCAATGTCTCGCTCTGCTCGCTGAAAGAAAAGAGGCGGTACTTGCAAGGTACAAGGATGAAGCAAAGGCGGCCCTCGCAAAGGTCGATTTTCTTGTTACAACCCATCTGACAGTATTGCAAGCATTCGTCCTGTCTTTGGTCAGTCCCATTGCCATCGTGGGGGAGACTGCGAGGCTAACTGTTGGCGCAGGTGGCTGCACGAATGCACGATCATAGCCGACGGGTCTGGACAATGCTCAGCGTAGCCCTTCGCATAGCGCAAGCACTCTCACTGCACATGACTGTTCCTCCATTTCCAGTGACGCCGTTTGAACGCGAGATGCGCCGCCGTTTGTGGCACTTGATCGGCTGGTTGGACCTTGAAGCCTCGTTAAACCGGGGATCTGAAAGTATGATGCGGTCGGCGTGGATTCAGACACATGCGCTCACAAACATCAACGACAACGACTTTGGATTGGATGCAGAGGAACCCTTACCAGCAGCGCAAGGCGGGCAAACAGAGACTACTCTTCTCATGATGTTCGCGCATGCCCAATGCACTCTTCGTGCCCTGGATTTATCCCACTTTACTGAACCGGGTATCACAGACATCCACATGCGACAGCAGATGGTGGACCACTTCCGTCACACTGCGGATGGGCTGCTGGCCGGCTCCGATCCCGAAAATGTTGCGTTCCACTGGTTTACTAAACGGATCCAGGAGCAGATCTCTGGTGTCCTGCAGCTCGTCGCTGTCCGGCCACTCCAGAGGAGTCCGACCTTTATCCCTGCGGAGGTACCAAGCCCCCAAATGCTCGCCCTCGCAGCCGAGATTTTAGAACGACGACAGAGATTGTATAGCGATCCTCGAGCACAGCACTGGCGCTGGTTCGAGGCGTTATTCTTTCCTTGGCATGCGCTCGTTGTAGCCATGACCGAGGTATGCGTCTGTACTGATCGATTAGTGATGGACAAATATTGGCCTACGCTCGAGTATAGTTATGACTTCTTCCAGAAGCAGGCCATCGGTACACATTATGACTGGCTCTTGACGTCTATGGAAGGTCTGATGAGAAACGCTCGAGCTGCGCGGCAAAAGGCGGTTGGCAAAGATGCGCCAGGGGATGCAGTGCCCCATTCCCACATCTATATGGATATGGCGCCTCTAGAGGGCTCTATCCTGTCAAATTCTCTGCCAGTTGTGCCTGGCGTGCCATTGACAGAGGCACAGGAGCTTTCTCATCTACAAGATCATGAGGCCATCGCGTGGGCGCAGTATGGGGACTTCACCGACCGCTTCTATGAGATGGATGGGGGATCTTTCAACGTGTAGGCCAGCCTACTCGTGATCGCTCACGATAGTCAGTCGCATGTATTAGCTGAGTCAAGAGATCTTAGCATGGTCATAGATTTTGAGTCCTCTTGTACTACTCTAATCACTCTTCCATGCAGAGATGGTAACATGCACAGCCCGGTCTTCGTAGCTATCTCATCTAGCTAAAGGTTGACTTCAATCACAGATCAGTGCACACTCAAGTCATCACTCAGGTCTATATCCGTCTCGGCTCGGAATGAAACCCGCAACGCCCTGGCCATAACCCTCCCAGCCGCAGAATTCAGTCACATATTTGATGGCTGCCTTTAGGTAAAAGTCGTCCTTGCGACCAAAGGTCTCCTCGAAGACTTTCGGCCCGCGGGCCACTTTGAAGAAGTGGGCATCCAGAGCCCACTTGTGCACCAATGCAGTATCAAGGACCCAATTCCAGTCGCGGCCATCTAATTTGACGGCTTCGATCCAGTCGAGGGAGAAGCGGGGCCGGAGCTGGCAGATATAGGTCATGATTCCGAAGAGCGCATACTGCTTCAAGATCGAGACGCGGCGGTCCGGGGGGAAATAATGCCACAACACTCGCAAAGCGTGGGCAACTGTCATGATGTGAACATTGAAAAAGTCAAAAGAGTCCCGTGAGTTCCCATTGCTCAGGGCGAGCAGAACGGCTAGGTCGCAGCATTCTTCCAACTGAGCTAGGAGGTCAGTGACTTCCCATGCATTTCAGTGTTCCAACACGACGGCAAGATTCTGCTCCTGGGAAAGGAGTTCGAGGTTGTTGATTCCAGGCTCGTTGAATAGGCCCTCCAGTCGTCCATCCTGTCGCACCTTCTCGAAGATCTCGGCCAGGGAGGTAGTTTTATACTTGGACGAGTCAGGAGGCGCCTGGTCAAGGAAAGTATGCAGAGGATTGTACTCCGTGCACCCCTGACTGAGGGCTTGCGTCGCTACCTCCTTGCTACGGAACTCGTACGCGTAGGCGAGATGGATAAACGGATGGCCCACTGTTGTTTTCGCACCCCCCTAGTCAGCCTGACTAGTTGTATCTGATACAAGACGAGAGTGATTTACTTACAGCCTCCAGTATAGCCGTTCACGAGTGGCGCCGGGCCAGAGTAGAGATATTCTTCAAGCACCTTTCCCCAGTCTCCCTGTTTCTTCTCCACTTCTTTATCGAAGAATTCCTGATATGCCACGGTGTACCTAGTTAGATGTGAGCAACTTGTTCGTCCATGTAGGGACCCAGTTACGCACTCTTTACGAGTCAGAAAATCCCGCCAATTTTCCTTGGAAATGGCCTCGCCTCGGATGAACCCTCGGGCGATGGGAACCAACTGGGTAATTTCATGTTCATATGTCCTCGTCAACTGGTCGCTGTTGGCACCCAGCGTATACGCAGACCCAAGGAGCTGGAGACCAAAATGTCAACGGATCAAACCTCGTAATTATGTATGTCCAGGGCAAAGAGCATACATGCGGCAAGTGACTATGCAGGATCAGCTCTGGGTCACGCAGCGGCGCAACCGTGACATGGCCTTGCTCAAGGAGGCTTCGCAGCTTCTGGGTTCGCGTATCGGGGAACTTCGTCACGTCGTAAACGGGCACCGGCTGGAGGTCTCTCAAACCGGACGCGGGGGGTAGTCTGATCAATTTTTGAGCGTGGACGCTAGTGCTGGAAGACATTGCCGGAAATTTGGACACTTGAATCACGCTATCAATATGGTAGAACTCCACTGCCGAGGCTCTAAAGTGATTGACGAGCTCAATATGCCAGTCTATATGGTACGGTCCTTTTAACGGTCGATGACAGCGTTTAAATACCTTCGTTCTCCCTCGTCAGGTCCTCCTCCTCGCAACCTCAGGCGCCCCATGCTGCAGACGAAAATATCTCGACCATATCAAGCACCTAGTCTCTACCGTCGATCTTTCGTTGTCGGATCAGGATTCATCTCGGGATTTGGAGCACTCACTAAGTCCGAGCCGGTGGGGTGAAAAGATATGTCATGATTCCACATATTCCACAGACGTGACTTTCTGCTCCAATCAAAAAAAGGTCTCTAGTGTGTCCAAATGCTCCTAGGAAACGAATCATACGTGCCATGGAAATGATGCTTTCGGACAGCTATGATGTCTACTCTGCGATCAGGAAAGAGAAAGGTACCACAGAGCATATGAGAAGGAGAAAATATGAAAATACCTTTCTACTTTCCGTGCTTCTCTGTAATTCCATGTTTAACCTTTATCTTTGCTTTCCTGAAGGTTTCAGACCACTCTAGGTTTTGCTTGTGCTTCTTATCTTAGCAGAGATCTGAGAATGTTCACAAAGTGCCAAACACTGTTACAACAATGCATAGGCAGATGGACAGACATAGTTTCTCAAGCTACTAGTCTAATGTACTCAGTTATACTCTGATCTGTGATAGTCCTTTAGCATCATTTTGTTACCATCCATCTATGCCAGCAAACCACTACTTCAGACGATGGCTCTGCCGATGCCCTTGGATGCACCAGCAACAACCACTACGAGGCCGGATAAGGTCATGGTGATAGTAGTATGGCAAGGATTTTCCACTTGAGAAGGACGGAAAAAACGATAGTATATCGACTCTGCAGGAGGGCGGAGATGACTCCCGTCTACCTAGCAATCGGGGAAATACTTACATAGCTCCTCGTCCTCGGACTGAGCCATATATATATATCTCCTTGTTCGGGGACCAGTTGGCGTGACACCGTGCTGTCGCATCGGGTTTAGACAGTGGATTCTAAGAGGAGTAGTCCACACCTGGCGGGCAGCCCCCGCTGCTTCAGGACTACATGTGGGGGCTTTCCTATTTCTGATCCTGGCATAGGCGGCTGACTACAGAAGGCTTCCTTTAGTACCTCTAGTACGGCGGCACAAAGTATTCCGGAATGTCACGGACACTGACTACAGAGATTATCATGACTTTTGCAGCGGTCTATGCTGCACACACCCTTTGTTCCCCTTTTTCTACCTCTATCAATTTGAAATCTTCCTACACTTCCGATCTCAATTCTATCAAAGACCTAGAAAGATGCTCGTTGCGCATGATATATGACAGTTACAGGCTAGCTGCATACTGGAAAAGGGCGTCGGCTACTATCGCCTGCAGTTTCCACACAGACCGACGTTCCAAGATCAACGCCCAAGCATACACTAATCGTACAGAGTCGGGCTTGTAGTTATGGACGTCAGAAAGACCCACTTCAGACAGGATCGATTGAAGCAACTGGATCTGTTGGCTCTCATCTGGAGTCCTCTCGGGCTCGGGGAGATTCTGCATCTCCTTCATCCATGCACTGGAGAATAGACCTACATTGAACATGGCTGTCAGTGCACTGGACAGGGTGTGGGATCACTCTAATCTGTCTGGGCTGTACTCACAACACTCCAAGGAGAACATATGAACCTCAAAGCTCTGGAAACAGCCCAGCCGCAGCTTTTCGAAGGACATCCCTAACTTGACTCGCATCTTTAGCGCACCGATTGCGTGCGTAGCTATTTTCAACGTGAAATCCGACCGACTCATAGGGATGACCAACTGCTTGAAGCGTTGCGCAATCTTTCCCGGATCGTGTGAGACAACTGCAGCGCGTACAGACGAGAAATCGGCCCCGAGCCACATGTAGCCCAGACGAAGTAACGCTGCCGGGTTGGCAGTCACTGCGTTGTGCGGGTTCCGCGGTGATACTGACGATTCCACGTTCCCTTCCCAGCAGGCACGCCAACTCTCCAGCGCTCCGCACGCTTTCTGTAGGCAACTCGTGACGTGGGTTGGATCAAGCAAGGCATTTCGTTTTAACGACCAGATATTCTCCACGATTACGTGTAGCAAGACGGAGGCGCCGAAGACGCTGATGGTGTTCCCCTGCAGCAGTGAGGGGGACAGCACAGCATCCAGCGCGGTTCCCAGACAGAGAACGCCCTCGCAACCATCCGTTCCCTCCTTCAGCCATAGTCCCGAAGTTGCACTAGTCCATGTTGATTCGTTGCAAGGCAGGCGGAGATCCTTAAACTCCCGGCTTGAGAGTGCCGGCGCAACGTCGAAGCAGACGCTCAGAACTTGCAAAGATATATATCCGGCCCATCGGGTTCTACAGACCATTTACTGTCAGAATAGCGTCGAAAAGAAAAAGGAAACCAAAACCTAAAAGCCTTACCGGACTATCGTCTCTTGCGCAATCCATATGTCCCATGGCTCAGACACGTCGTTATCCACTGCACAATACTGGCTCAGGGATGGGCTATATTGAATGATCTAAAGCATTATAGCATGATCAGCTTGAGATCCCTCACCTGATGCGTTTGGAACCTACATTGGCTAGACATGAAGCGTACGATAAAGCCCAACGGAACAGCTCAGGATCCCCGCTACGAACGCAATATGACATTGTGATTAATAGGGCCTGTGTCACCCAGACAGGGTGATCCCAAGACATGCGGTTTGCCTCTAGCTAATCTCATTAGCAGAAAGAATGAACGCACTGGTGCTCACACACATATCTGGAGACCGAGCCTCTCGCAGCCTGGCATATGGCATGAGCAGTATCATGTTCCTCGTGACACGCGGCACCAATCGCGGCCATAGCTAGAAGGAGACAGGGAGGTGCCTTTTCGGATTGCCAGGTCGGGACATGGATAAAGGGAAGGTAGTCCAGGAAACATTCAAAGAATGTCACTATATACCTTTCGAATCTCAAGCAGGACGGAAAGTCTGATATGGGTCGGGCTCCGGCCTTTGGCATCATATCAGCGTACAGCAGACCCCGTGTCATACTTGTTACTTACCACTCCAATCGCATCTTTTGTTTCCGTGTACACTTGATCTCGTTTCGTCTCCGAAAATTCGAACGAGCCTCTCCAAGAAGACGAGGCTAGTGGTGGACAGGCGAGGCCTGCTGAAACGGAGCTTCCTGGTGGAATTATTAGTCTGGCGGTACTCACAATGAGACGATCTGCTGATACGACTAGAAAGACTGTCTGTGTATGACTTGCCCGGCATAGGCAGAGGGTTCAAGCTCGGGAAGAAAGCATCGATCACGTAGCAATCCATGAACAGGTCCTGAGCCTGGCCACCGTGAATGCCAAGGTCCAAATCTGCGGGATTCTCTCCCTGAGAGTAACTGGGGACGGATGCCGCAATCTCCCTTCCTAGATGCTTCTGAGGTCCGATATTTCTTGGTGATCCTGATTGCAGAGATAGTGGCAAAGAAGCAGCGGCTGTTGCACCAACCGCCCCAAGGACATCTTGATGATACCGGAACTCGTGTCTCTTAATCACATCCTTACGAGTGAAGGTCGCGTCACAGTAGCTGCAACTGAATGGTTTCTCCTTCCGATCTGAAACAGTCAGTAGACCGTCGAGTGTACAAGCATTCGTTCAGGATGACTGACGGGAGCGCTCATGCCGGGTTCGATGCTCAGCTCGTGAGAACGAACGGTCACAGTAAGTACATTTTAAAGAGGGGTGACGTTGAAGTCTTTTACTTGTCAGTAGGCTCATTGTAAGTAGATAACCACGCAGCAAAGACAGCTCCCAGCGAAGGAAATGATAAAGTAGATTCCCAAGTAGTCTTCGTGACAATCATGCGCATGCCCACATCCAGTATTTCGGGGAATTACTGAGAATCCGTCCTGCTACCTTGGTTACACAGTATCCACTGGTTAGGCAGCGTCCTATTTGCAGAGTCCCTAATAATCAAGGTTCAAAATTCCCTTTTTTACCTTGAAATATATCGCAAAGTGGAGCGAGAAACTTATTCAGGCTCGATGGCTTTCGGGCAATCGGATTTTGCGGCTTTTGACCTTGGATGATGCTAGCTTTTTTCAGACGCACACCCCTGGATGTTGCGGAAGGACTTTAGTCTTTTCCTTGTCTAAGTATCAAACGGCATTATTGCATGGCTATGTATAGTAATTGAAGGGAAGTCTCAGGCGCAGAAAAATTGAGATTTGGATCCTCTTTATCCCCTCGATCTTATATCACCGGCAACGTTCCCCGCATGTACTCCCTTGCTCGCTAATAAGTCTTTCATTTACGGTGCGTTCATAGCAATTATCCATATAATGGAATGGCCCCTTCCTCCCGTCCCTAACCAACCTGCAGTTACCTTTCAGATTCCAGCAGCCTTGATCAAGGCCTCGCCAATCACTGTAGAACTGGGTGGGTTCTGCCCAGTAATCAACTTGCCGTTCTTACCGCTGGCAAGGACTTTTACGCCAAAGAGGCCATCGGCCTTCTCGTAAACTGCGCCTTTCTTGCGTAACTCAGACTCCAACAGAAATGGCATATCCTTGGTGAATTGCATGAACTCCTCCTCAGCATCAGAGAGACCAGTGACCTTCTGACCAGCGACCAAGTAGCTACCATCAGACAACTTCACGTTGACAAGAGCAGCCGGGCCATGGCAGACGGCAGAGACAACTTTTCCATTCTCGTGGAACTCACGGATCAGAGCATGAGAAGTCACATCATTGACGAGATCAAACATTGCTAAGGGAGGTTGGCTAGTCAGTCGTTGCCTTTGGGCAGGAGTATAGAATATATGACGACTTACGACCATGGCCACCCACGTAAAAGATCCCGACGAACTCTGAAGTCTTGCCCAGAAGGGACTCAAGCTTCAAGGTATCCTTCCAAACACTAGATTTCTCCTTGAGAAAGGCCACACACTCAGGATCTCCTTTGGTTGCTTCAACTGAATAGGGATCGAGCGGTGCTTCACCACCACGAGGAGATGCAACAACGATCTCGAACAGTGGAGCGAGCTTATTGTAGGGATGAACCAGTTCTGGAAGGTACCATCCAGTCTGTGTGCCACGGCTGGGGAGAATGTTTTGGGAGGACAGGACAAAGAGGAACTTTGGCTTAGCAGACATTGCTGAATCAACGGATAGTACAGGGTTCCTAAGCTTTGAGTCGAAGGAAACGAAAACGGGGGTGTGCTCTCTTATTTAAATCTTGCAGAGAGGTCGGTGATGAGAACATACCTATACCTGGCTCTTGTCTGAGGTAAATTTATATAATTTGTGGGTGACATCGTTACCTGCATTGTTTGCACCCCTCTTCCAGGTCCTAGATATAGATGGTCGAGTACCTCATCCGCTTCGCCACTGGAACCGCTGTTCAGGCAGGAAATCAGTCGAATTTGGCAAGCAATCATTACATTCTATGGGGGTTGGTGGTGAACAGAGATATGACAGTACTAGTCGAGCTCCGCAGATATATGGACCAGTTACACACTGGAAATCAGGACGGGCTATAGGTCAGGCAGTCTAAAATTTTAGCGCGGCGCCATTTCATGGATAGAAGCAAGGTTAGAGTTGCATTCGGTCCGAGTTCGGGCGGGTTCAACCCCAGTTGGCAATTTCGAGTCGAAAAATTAGAACTCAGAACCCACCCTGACCCGGTGCGATTCAGTGCGAGTTTCACCTCAAACCCCGCCACTAGGCCTAGATAGGCCTAGCTAGGCACCTACTAACCTATCTAGGTGGGCGGTAGAACCCTGCAAAATCTAAATTTCAATGGTTTTTAGATTTCAATTTCTCTTACCTTAGGCATATGCGGCGATATGCCTCAGGCCTATCTAATATTCATATAGAAACTTGTTATTTTTACATGAAATATATGGTAATAATCACCATCCTGACCTATATCTAAAATATCGATTTGATATCTACAGGGTTGAAAGGGTGGTGGTTGAAAATCATTTTTAAACTATGTTAGTTGTCGAAGGTCAGCACCATATATATATATCCATACACCACCTTCATACCAACCTCTAACAGAGATGATTATTCACTTATATCTCACCAACCACTAGATATTTTGAATCGATATTTCATATTTAGATAGACTAGATACTAGGCTATCTAATGATATCAAAATTTCTATAGAAATCCTAGAAATTAGTGATTAGTAAGCAAAAATACCAACTCAAACTGATAAAACCAATAAAACCATAACCAACGGTTTTAACTGAACCCTGAGAGGTTCTATAGTAGGGAAACCGCAACCGGTGCGATTCCCTAGGCTAGGCACCGAACCCTCACCACTGCGAGTTCGGTGAGGGTCGGATTTGATTTTAGCAGTTCGGTTATGCAACTCTAAGCAAGGTACTTAACCTAATATAGTAGCCACCACATAAATTAAAGTACCCCTTTTAAGAAGTCATAATAACATATATCTTCAAGATTTCAACCTCACTATTATTAAAATTTGAAGCTATTTAGCGTTATTAAAACCTAGTAGTAAGCTATCTACAGTTCTACGTCAAAAATCTCCGTAGCCCCCGCCAAAATCAAAAATATATATTTCTCTTAAGAATATTGATTCTTTAACCACTCCATCCACCTACTATTAAAATTATATGTAAATGTAGCGGGCAAGGCCCGCTGTATGCTCGAGCCTATCGGCACTCGCGAGCTGCCTTAGGCACCAACGATATCACGAGGTCACCAAGTCATGTGACCTCGCCTGCAGTTCGCACACATCTTTTCTTGTTCGGCCGTTGCGGCCCTAGTTAGAACCCCTTAGCGATTTCTTACCGTCCAAACCTAGGTCATAGGTTGACCAGCTTCTAGCCCGTGACAGTAAAGGTATGATTCTATAGAAAAATAACTAGAGAATTTAAAAAATATAGTATTTCTACCTAATATTTAGTATACTAATTATTAGCCTTAATAATAGCCTTCACCCTCCACAGCATAGATAAAATCAACCTATTAAAATACTCCTAGCCTAATACCTCCTATATATACTTAATTAGACTATTAAAGTAATCTTTTACCTCCTTAATTAATCTATAATAGTTCTCTATATCTAGATCTAGCCAGTAGATTACCTCTTTAAGCTTAGCCTAGGTATGTTTAATCAGGTTAAGATTAGGTGAATATAGCAGCTAGTTAATAGTAGAAATAGCATTATCCTCAAACTAATTCTTAATAATCTTGTAACGGGCGATGCCCGATAGGCGCTTGTTGCGGCTATCACGCCACAACTTGACTCCAATCCCGAGACCCGATTGGTGCCCAATGATTGTCATAAGGACTTGTTTTCATCCAACCTTTCAATTTTCCTTTCTTCTTTCCTCAGCGATATCTTTTGTATGCTAGTCTTATATAGATTTAGCAACACGGGACTGAGCCCGTTTCAAATCTAAGCCCTATAGATAGGGGCATTATCTTATATAAAAGTCATCTCTAGAGAATAGATTATAAAGATATTCTTCTCTAAAATCTTAAGATAGGAGGCTGTAGAATACCTATTTTAAGGAGAATTCTTATCTCTAGTTATTTAATTAATATCTAAATAACTACTACCCTAAATTACCTAAATCATAATTAAGATATTCTTAGACTTCTTATATATAATAATATTCTCCTTTTTCTATTTCTCTCTAAGTTAATCTAATTACTAGACCTATTTATATTACCTCCTATAGCTAAGTTTAATAGAATATTTATTACTTTAGATAATTCTATAAAACTCCTCTATACCCTAATTCTCCTATGCCTTAGCCTATTCTAGATGTTTTTTAGCTACTTCTTTAGTTAATTAAGGTTATTTCTTTACTCACTAGTATCTATAGCTGTCATGGGTTGACCCCATGACACGCACCGCATTGTGTATGCGGCTGTGGTCACGTGGTTCCCTGTTAGTCCGCCGCCCTGTCACCTTAGCACGACGACAGCCTGTATCTAGTTTTCTCTCTTTAGCAATTCCACTTCGTTCCATCGCGACCGTAAGGGAGGCTAGTGGTACAAGATCCGTAAGGGACACTCTAGCCCGTGACATATCTTATATTATAAGAGGCTATTATTATTAAATCTTAGAAGCCTTATATATAGCTTATTTTATAATATTAATAGCTATAGTAGGTCTATATTAATAATTTCAATATTATTAGTATAGTCTAGATAATAACTAGATATATCTATAGGGTTACTAGTCCCTAGGTAATATTTAATTAAGAAATTAAATATAGATAGATATTCTACCTACCTTATCTAATATAGATTTAGCTTCTTTATTATTATAAAGTAGTATAAATTAGTATAATTAGATAGTACTAAAATAGGGAACTTACTCCCTTCTAAATAATATCTTTATTATTTAAAGTACTTTTATCTTCTTTAGAGCTTTATTTATTCTAGTTATAAAATCTATATTTTCTTAATTCTAGGCCCTTATCTTATTCTTAGTAGTCTTCTTAGCTAGATATTTTTATTCTCTTAAATAACTAGTTCTTATACTTAGTTATCTAGTTCTTAATAAATATAATCTTATTAATATAATTATTATATAAGATATCCTCTATAATCTAGTATTATAAGATCTTTCTCTTTAATACTAGGAAATAACTTTATCTAAAGATATATCTTTTTCTACTTATTAGTATATTTAATATTAAGCTAAGATTTCTATTACTTTTAGTAGAGTAATTAGAACTATAAGAGTACTTAGGGAATGCTCTTAATTAAATACTAGATAGTATAGTAGTAGTAAATATCTTTATTAATAAACTAATTACTAAGGTATAAGATGCTCACCCCTTAGTAAGTAATAATATCTCTATGGGTCATGTGCTACCTACATGACCCCTATAGTTCACTACATATAGGCTTGCTGTGCCTAACAGCAGCAGAGTGGTGGTTTAATGAGGGCTGTTTCTAGCGCCCTGCTAACCATCACATCATATACTATATACTAATTAGGAGTCAATAGTAGTTAATTTTTATGGAAGTTATGGCTATAGGTAATATAAGTAGGTAACAGAAAAAATTTTTATTTCTGCTGGTTTGTACATTCAGTCCGCTGTACCAATTCTGCACCACTAGTTGACTAAAGAAGGAAGAGTGGCTTTATATTTTCCATGCATAGTTGATCCTATTTCCTATTCACACACTTAGTCATGTCTTGTTATACAGTTGATTAATTAGGTATAAACTCCTTCAAGGTCGTAACCTAATTATGATAATAAAGCAATAGAGAAACAACATGAGACAAATCCATCTGCTGGTAGGTATGCTTCTAGATAGGTTATCTATTTCTCAGTCAATTATCATCCAAAACTATACCATCCCACTCCCAGGCAAAGGAGCACACTGCCATCTGGGCTTGCACATTATCCATACTGCTCATCTCCAGTATAGTGAGTCTGTGTTAATAGTAAATGAAAAGTAGTCTGAAAGCAGCCAACGCGCATCAGACCTCAGTAAGCTCGCCAGCCTCATCTTGGTAAGGCTTCTTTTCTTGATGACCCAGGACATCCAGTAAGCTGAACTCTCCTATCATAGGACCGGTTTTGCTTCTGGGAACGGTATTGGAGAGTTTCAATAAACCATATCTGTGATCCAGGATATTTATATGCATATCTTCAGCTTGCATGAGTCGACAGATTCTCTTTTTTTGTCTCTTGATGCACTCAGTATGAACCATATCTCTCAGCACATATCCTCTACATCAACAAACACGGGTTGACTAGATTTCCGATAGGTGCCTATGCTACATTCCATAAGTTTTCTCTACTTGTGAAACCTCCTCATCAATCTCCCTCCATCCCAATGCCCTCCATCTCTCCGGCCGTTCCATTGCATCCACATAATGCTTCAACGCCAGCACAAACTGCGCCGCCCACTTCTCACCACTCGCGCCCCCTACCCCCGTTGCCATCGGAGTGATCAGAATCGGCTCAATACGATCCTCCTCCTGGCCCCGATTCCACCCTTCCAATTGACAAACCCGGTCCCAGTTTACCCGGTCTGGGTATCGCATGGTCGGGCAGATCGCTACCCACTTGCAGCCCCATTAATTCACGTCTTCGATTTCCTCGGGAAACGGGACAAGTGTGAATGATCCGGGAGGCGCGAAGCCTCGCCACAGCTCGTAGAGGATCTTTTGCGCAGCGCGGGTGAGTGCATCGTAGTCATCAGCCGGACAGAAAGCGCGGGAGATGGCGTCGTCAAAGGCGCCGTCTAGCCGTCCGTAGGAATTGGCAGGTGAGACGACGAGGTCGAATTTCGTCGTCGATGGGATGTCGCTTAGGCTGCTGTTGAGGATGTGAATGTCAAGTGTGGGATTGGGTGCAAAGGAGGGCCACTGCTCGGTGACGGCTGCGTTAAAAGCGCTGATAATTTCTCTTGCGTGCAGAGGAGGTGAATCTTTGGCAGATTTTAGAGAGCAATTTTCATTCTACGCAGATCATGTATCTTGTGGCTTCTCAGGAAAATGTTGTTGGAGAAAGGCCTTTGGATTATTTATGCTAGTGGAAACTGTGCTGCCTAGGGTCTTTGTTATGTGATACTTGCTTGATGACACCGGATCTCTAGTATCATTTATCTCTGTCTATGGGCTTATAGATGCACAAGCTAATGCGTTGTCCCAGGAGCAGACATCACGATGGATCTCTGATCAGGTATGGCTGGCTCCACACAAATCATGCGCCGCTTAACTACAGAGTATATCCGGATGATTGTACTCGACACCGGTGCGGATGGGGATCATTTCTTAACTCTGTATCAGTTATTGTGCAGCGGCCACAGGAATAGTATGCTATCCCACATGGTCTATAATCCCACATAGACGTTACATGAGGAGTTCATCCCATGCCATCCTTTACTTTTCCCGTAAAAGTTCCTCCACTGCTGACCATATCAGAAGCTAGTTATCCAAGGTGAGCACATTCATTCTGGCCACACTCCCTTCAGAAATAGTATTGCCTGGAATAATATGCACGTCAGGAAAGGGGAAATAACTTGAAGTGCGCTCCAGCCTCTAAACCAGCAAGCCTTGGAGCATTAGGGACAAAAAAAGAACCAACCCCTGTAAAAATGAAAACACGAGGCAGTGTACATGCAGTAGTGCCAGGGGGCTAACGGTTGATTCTCATTTCCCGCGAACGCTCGCGCGGCGGATGACCATACATGTGTTTGGACTACTGCAGCTTCCGACAAGGGTTTCCGCTCTGAGGCAGTCTCCACGACTGAGAACGACATGGAGGCTTGGAATGGGTCCCTTGGTCTGGTAATGGAGTGGCGGGGAAGCCACAAGCACCTGGGCTGTGCTATACATGGAGGCTGCCTTGTTCTTGGGCGTTTCACAGCCCTGTCAGGGGTTTTGGTACTTTGGCTGAGCTGAAGTCTGGGAGACATGGAAATGGAATTATGCGGCACAGCTGGATGCATATATTTCCTCTGTTTCTCAAGCGCCGGTTCTTGAGGCTTGATTTCTTGCCTTTTCAGATATACACCATTTTCCCACGAAGCATCCATCATGTCAGACGAAACAGCACCGGTAACCCCGTCCTCGAATCCTTTGTACCCCAATCTGGTAACACCACCAGATTCCGGTAATTCTATTGACAACCCCATACTTGTATGCGATTCTGATGGGTCGGATGCCTCGGATACAGAGGCGTTTGGTGGATCTGTTCGACAGCTATCTGACAACAGTCCATCGCCCTCCCCTCGGATTGCGGCTAGATTGCAGCCCCAAAAGATCCGGCGCCATCATCAAGATACGTCTCCTTCTGAAGGAGATGCCAACGTGGAAACTCTGGAGGAGGTCGAGAATGCCAGAGACTTGGACGTAACTATCGATGATCTTGGTAGGAGACCTTGTTTGAATCAAGTCACTAGCTGGCAGTGCGCTAATAGGATCTCAATGCTACAGCGTATGACACACCTCCTAGCTCTCCCAAATTGCCAATGGACATTCCAAATAGCGGTACTTCTCAGGAAGGCTCTGATACTCGGGCAACTCTCGCAAGTACTCCCTCGGCCTCTGTAGGACCAATGCCGATTTGGAAGCTGGAAATCAAAATTAAGGAGGTTATTTTAAAGACCGCCGCGGGAAAAGAAGGACAAAGGCGAGGGCATGCCTATATATATGCCGATCCGAACAGCGAGGCAGGATATTTCAAACTGGGAAAGACTGAGACTCCAAGGAGGCGCGAAAAGGAGCACCAAGTAAAATGCAAACATCCCACCTTCGAATTGCTAGATATCGTACCCCGAGGACAGAAAGTTCCTTGGTTCAGTCGTTTGGAGGCGTTGGCGCTCGCTGAACTCACGAATATGGAGTACTCATTCGACTGCCCTTGCTTGACGCCCCACCGAGAATACTTTACTGGAAGAGTCCGCGAGGGCTTAGAGATCCTCAACTGCTGGTCCAGCTGGCTACAGCGCAATCCGTATGATGAAAAATTCCAGCTTTCTCCTTTCTGGAGAGATAGACTTCGTCTTTTGGGAGGAGGTTCATTTAGCCATTCCAGGTGTCCCAACACTGAATGCCGCTCCGCCAGGGACATTTGCTCCAGATCATGTCAAGCATGTCTCAGGCTACGCTTGAAAGCTTGGACTGACGTGACGGATTTTGATCATTTTCAATACGAGTGTCGCATGAGGGTTGGCTGGGAGTTGATGCGTCAAGCCATGTACTTGGTGTGGCCGCGTTTTGGGAGTCGCACTTTGATTCTCATTGACGGCTGGGAGAAGATAAAACTCCTAGCCACTTTCCTTTGGGCCCCGACGACTCATTTGTATTTACTTCTGCTATTGCATTCGCTTCTGCTCTTGGTGCTCTGGCGCCCAATTAGCGTACCTGCCGAGCCCATTTTGTGCTACGGCATTTTCTGCCTTTTCGCCTATTGGAGGATCATGAGGGGGTTGAAGGACTCACCAGATGAAAGCCAACTGACAAAGGACCGAATACGTCCTCGAACACCCAGCAAAAAAACCATTAGGAGGTCTTCGTCTTCACCGGGACCCAAGATCCTTCCTGGAATAGTCGGTGAAGCAGAAACACCAGATGAACAAGAACCGCCCTCCAAAAAGCGCTCAGTGAGCATCCATGGAGCTGACGGTATCTCGAGTACTCCAGAAAGCTATCAAAGTGCCTCCAATTCCCATGAAATGTCTGAAATACCGAGGCACATCGGACACTCACCGTTCTTGACTCCGGACCGAGCGAAAAGGACTGTTGGTAAGAGCAGCCCGAGAGCCGGCACGAAACGGCGAAAGAGCGATGTTCGTTGAATCGTCCAGGCCAGGTCCTTGTATGTCTTTGCACGAACTTGAGTGACCTTAGTGGCCTACGCCGCCATTCAGAGGAGAAACTTGCTTCCAGGGTTCTTATCTAGAGTCAGTGCAGCTAGCTTCTGGGCTTCTCGGCTGGATATACTTGGTTTGGAATTGATATGCTCTTATACTTGAGCCTAGCTGAAAATAAGAGGAGCGGCTCACAGGCGGGGCTCTGCTTGAGAGAGCTATTGAGGTTTTCATTAGAGATTTGCCCAAACCACTGTGCAGTTCTCGTTCCAGAAGACTGTAGAAACTAAGACAAATTCTGAGCGCATGGTTCAATTATCCACCTTTTCCCCCAGAACCCATAAAAATGGAACATCTTTTCCTTCTCCCTTCTCTTCCTCGGTATCAACGACAACCTCCCTGAGAATCAGCTCAAATCCAATGCCGGACAGTATCTCACAGGTCCTTTCTTCTCCCCATCCACTCCAAAACATGACTCCATCCGTCCCATCCAACCAATGCTTGTCAAAAGATCCCTGGTCTCCAGGGCCCGCTGAAAAATTCCCCAGAAACAATCCTCCGGGCTTCAGCCACTTGTATATTCTTGTTGATAGAGTAACTTGTTCCTCCCTCGGCAGGTGAATGAGCGAATACATTGCAATCACGGCGTCGAAACTGTGATCATCAAAGGACAGATCCATCATATCCCCCTCAATTAGAGCCACATTTGTAGAAGGAAGATGCTCTGCCGCAAGCGCAAGCTGCACAGGTGAGATGTCGTTTGCTGTGACATGCAGTCTAGGGTTGGAAGCAAAAAGGGCAGTGCAAGGTTGACCAGAACCGCACCCTAACTCAAGAACCGACTTTTCGCTTCGTGAGGGTAAAATGTATCCGAGCAGCTTCTGGAGATACTCAAGGCGGGTAGGATAGCTTGGTTTTGTCCATTCTGAGTACTTGAGAGCTATGTTGTCGTAGGCCTTCCTGATATTCTCTTTGAGGATTGGAGATGAAGATGCCATTCTGTGGTCTGGATAAGTGATTGAGAGAGCTTTTTCTTGTGTTTGTGAGCGGAAAGGTGAGCGATAAATACATTTTCGGGGACTCGAGTAGGCTAGAATCCTAGAATGCTAGATTGTGTCCGCGACAAATGAGCAGCTGAGTCATGAGTGCTTTTAGGTTTCTTACGTCTGACATGTTTATTGGATGCATTCCTCCGCATATGCGTCTTGACTCATGAGATGCCAGCGGTAATTTTGGACTTTTGGCCTTGCAAATCAACAAACAATTATGACTGGAAAATGACCTCTGAATCTATAGATCCGGTTCGGGAGGGATGCGCCTCACTCAACCGTGGTTGCTTGGCCCCAAGGCACTGATGTAACAATGCCACTTACTTGACCTGATCAGGATTCGGTCATTCAACTAACCACCATCACACTACCATGGTTACATAAGGCAGGGCCTATCACAAGCAAGAATGGGATCTTCAATGCAAGGATTGCTCCTGATCTGCAGGGCCACGGTGAAACCGGTGATCTTTGACATCTCCGCCGGCAACCTGCAGACGGAACGCTCGATCATATATTAGTTCTCCTCTTCCTCTGTCAAAGACACAAAGACTCGTTGAATGTGAGGGGCGACTCGATTAACATCCAGAATGAGTTCGTTCATTTGGTTATTGGAGTTATTGGAGTTATATGTGGCCATATTCGGCATAACCGTCTACACGATAGGGGAGAAAACGGGGAATACAACGAAGCTCACTCCGTGGCGCCTGCAGTCCTCGCTCGCGGTTTCCGAAAACGTGGCTGCGTGGTCACTGCCAGGAAAAGATGTCTCCTCCTGGTATGAGGTCGGCACGCGAGCGACCGTCATGGCTGGTTTACTACAGAACGGCGTCTTCGATGAATCGACCTTGTTCTACTCCAACAACATGGAAAGCAAAACCGTCGACACTGCCATGTTCGAAGCGCCTTGGCTATACAGACATGAGCTTTGGATCGAGAGCAAGATACGCAAAGGGGAGCATTGTTTCCTTCGCACGCATGGTATCACGTCCAAGGCGGATATATACGTCAACGGGGTGCTGGTTGCACCGAGCTCCGTTCAGCAGGGATCGTACGGGGGTCACACGTACGACATCACAGAATACCTTCGGGTTGAATCAAACGCACTGCTTATTCAGGCGTATCCGACAAACTATCTGCGGGATTTCGCGCAGGGATTTGTGGATTGGAACCCGTATCCACCGGATAATGGCACGGGGTTATGGCGGGATGTCATGATCACAAAGACGGGACCTGTGTCAATCTCGTCGCCGCGTGTACTGACCAACTTCAGAAAGCCTGATGGAAAGCCGGTCACGGTGAATGTTATCGTGGACATAACGAACCATGAGAATGAGACTGTCGATGGTACTGTACAGGGAAGCATTCAGTCCGACACTGAGATCTTTGCGCTTTCCGAGCGATTCTCTATCCAACCACATGAAACAAAGACCATACCTATGAATGTCAAGATCGAAAACCCCAAGGTGTGGTGGCCGGCGCAATGGGGTTCCCAGCCCTTGTACACAGTCAATGTCAATGCGACAGTCGGCAAGGGGAAAATCTCGGATGTTGCTCTTGAAAGGCGATTTGGCATTCGCCAGGTAGACTCGTATGTTAACTCCCATAATGATACGGCATTTACAGTGAACGGATCGCCATTCCTGGTTCTCGGTGGAGGGTACTCGCCTGATTTGTTTCTTCGATTTGATGTCAATCGTGTGCGGAAGATCTTCCAGTATATGCTTGACATGGGACTGAACACCGTCCGACTGGAGGGCAAGCAGGAGCATCCACAATTATATGATTTGGCCGATGAAATGGGACTGATGGTCATGGCTGGATGGGAATGCTGCGACAAATGGGAGGGATGGGAGGTAAGTCACTCGTCTTTGCATCAAACGACGAAGAATACTCACGAGCTCAGTATAATAATGACGCCAGCGGACAAAAATGGACCGAGGAGGACTACCCCATTGCCAATGCATCCATGCTCCATGAAGCAGCGATGATGCAGATTCATCCGTCTATGCTAGCCTTTCTGATCGGATCGGATTTCTGGCCCAACGACCGCGCAACCAAGATCTATCTCGATGCATTGCATCGCCTGGATTGGCCGGTGCCAATCATTGCATCCGCCAGCAAACGGGGATACCCAAAAGTTCTCGGCCCGTCAGGTATGAAGATGGAGGGCCCGTACGACTGGGTACCACCAAATTACTTCTATGGTGACCAGCTGGGTGCTGCGTTTGGATTCGGGTCTGAAGAGGGTGCTGGTGTTGGAACCCCCGAGCTGACCAGTCTGAAGAAGTTCTTGTCGCCAGAGGATCTAGATTCCTTGTGGAAGAATCCCGATCAGAACCAGTATCATATGTCGCGGTATGACTCGTCTTTCTATAATCGCTCTCTTTATAACAAAGCTCTCTTTGCGCGGTACGGTTCCCCTGTCAGCTTAGAGGATTATCTCCTCAAGGTGCAGATGATGGACTACGAGGCCACGCGTGCACAATTCGAAGCGTTCTCCGTGCGCCAGAATGCCACTCATCCGGCCACTGGGGTGATATACTGGATGTTGAACAGCGCATGGCCGGCTCTGCACTGGCAGCTGTTCGACTTCTATCTGAGTCCTGCCGGGGCATATTTCGGGACAAAGGTCGGTGCCAGAATGGAACATGTGGCATATGACTATGAGGAGCGTGCAGTTTACCTGATCAATCATTCTCTTGAGAGAGAAGGGTCTCGCGTCGTCTCGGTTGACCTTGTGGATCTGCAGGGCAACTCAATCTTCAACGAGGAGGTCACAGTTAATACTACAGCAAAAGCCTCCAAGAAGGTTATCCCAGTCAAAGCACTTGATCGGATCAAGGATGTCGCATTTCTCCGTCTGGCGCTCAAAGATCCCAATACAGGAACCATCCTCAGCCGCAATGTATACTGGTTGTCCGCCCAGAACGACATCCTGGACTGGGAGAATTCGAACTGGTACTATACTCCTGTAACAAAGTATGCCGACTACAAGGCACTCATATCGATGCCCACTGTCACCGTGACTGCATCGCTGAAGCCATTGGCTGCCAGGGATGGACTTGCCCAGGTGCAGGTTGTGTTGAACAATCCTTCAGCGATGCCTGCCTTTTTCATGCACCTGTCCATCATCAACAAGGAGACGCAGGAGGAGATTACTCCGGTGCTTTGGTCGGATAATTATGTGACTGTCTTCAAGGGGGAAAGTGTGACCCTGACAGCAGCATTTTCGGGGGATTGGAGTGACTGTGAGGTTATCCTGTCGGGTGTGAATGTGAAGAGAAATATCTTGTCGTAATTGATCATGCACGGTCTGAAATCTGAGAAAGAATTGCTTATATATTGAGTGTGATATATTGGCTATCAAATCAATAAACAATTGCCCGGTTCAACAAAGCCAAGATTGTCGTAGAGAAAGTGGAAGAAAAAAATCCAAGCATGGGATAGCCGAAGACGAAGCCGCACTCGAAGCGTTCATAACGTTTTCTCCATCAACCACAACTCGACGATGAATCATGCATCAAAAGCAAGACTTAGGACGAGAACAGGCTGTCTTGACTGTAAGTTTTACCCTCCTCTTGATGGATTACCGGCTAATTTACCAGGTCGCCAACGACGGAAAAAGTGTGATGAACACCGACCGCGATGTGGGGGATGCTGTCGCAACCATCTTGACTGTACTTGGCCAACCGCAACAACACAGCCTGTCGATGGACGACGACGGCATCATCAAGCCGCCATTTCAAGACTGCTCTCATTTCCACGAGACAGTCCTGAGGAGTATTATCATTACTTTGCGACCTCTGTCATTCCGTGTCTCGTGCGGCAGAATTGCCTACCCCAATACACTGATCAATCGTACATGCTGCGATTGGGACTGGAATTCACTCCTCCTATGAGCATCATGGTGACCATTGCTGCCGAACACAGAGAGAACCATGATCCATTCGCCTTGCATAGCTACCTTTTGGCTATCCGGGGGCTGCCTGCCAGCATCGCGGATGCCACCGAGACTAGGAATGAGGATGCCTTATTAGCTACGACGATCTGTCTCTGCGTCTATGAGGTTGCCTGTTCATGAACAAGTAAAATGATAGATACTGATGTGATATAGAGCTTTCGAACCGATTCACGACCGAATGTCGGTCCCCATGCCTCTTCTGACATCGCGATACCCGGCACAGAGAAATCAACAGCCAGTCAGGACATTTGAGAGGATTTGTGTGGAATTATTTCTCTATCACAGCGCACTCATGATGCTTTTCGATCCCACGTCCGATGCACTGAGCAATCCAGACCATCGATTGTATCTGGATCGCTACTTTGCCGAACCAGAACCAAATGAGCTGGCCGCGGATCCATCCACGCAGGCCGTGTTGGACACATCATATCAGTTCTTCTTGTTGATTGCCGATGTTACATGGCTCGCTCGCGCCGTTGAGCCAATTTGTCGTTCCGACATAGTCACCTGGCAAAGACTACACGAGGAATTGCTGCTGTGGGAAAGGAACCCCCAAACTCAAAATGATGGATGTATGCTGTATATCCTTGCCATGCGCATCCTTCTACTCAGAATCGACGTATCTTCATCGTCCGCGGAGGTCGAGGGGCGAATTTCCTGCCTTCTACGCCAGGGACTTGGCCTGGTCCAGTCCGTCAATCCTGACCAGTTCCTGATCAGTTATCTTCTCTGGCCGTTGACTGTGCTGGGCTGCGTAGCGGTCACCGAGGACGAAGTTCGTATTGTGAACGACAAGGTTACGCTGCTGGTTAGACGCCGTGCGCAGGCATCATGGGTCAAATCCCATTTAGACAAGATCAGGACAATGACCTCGTCCTTGAAGATGAGGCTAGGGTATCTCCTGGGTGTCGGCCATGGTCAGACAAGCGGCCGTTTGTCACATCAATGTTGATACGTCTTTCTTTTCACGTTCGCTCGTTCATCAATTCCTATTTGTTAGGTCTCCAGAAAGACGTACGAATTGATCATGCGATCAAGTGTTGCCGATTGCAGCGCCGGTTACAGCGAGGTGAAGTCGCGCAGTTACTGTCAAGCTTAAACCTGAAAAGGTTTCTCTACTTTACTTCGAATGATCGAGTGTTGACGGCCTAAATTAATCTGAGGCTCTCTACTCCTTCGGAAGAAAATGTTTGGCAAGACATCTACTGACCCACAATAGTCTACAATCACTGGAAGAATTAAGGATTGCTGACACTGACACTCAAACTCCATGTCTAAGAGCAATTGGTTCCACCGTAGACAAAAGTTCCGTCCGAGTTTTCGCAACCACAAGTACCGTCATCAGGGCTCTTAATGCAACCTGTGCCGACGCCAGAAGACTCTCCATTGTCACTGCATGCGATTAGCATATAGTCACTGTACTCTGTACAGGGGATTGTTTGTGGTCTTGACTCACTTCCAGAAGAATGTCCAGCAATCTTCATCGACGTCGGTCATTTCCGAGTCGGTGGGCGCGGTGCAGGTGTACGCCTTGCAGGTTCCATAGGGAGCTCCGTGGGAAGAGTCATATTGGTGATCAGTGACAAACACGGCAAAGGTTTGGGTTCCTGCTTCCATATTAGAGGATCAACGCGTCTGTGGGAGATATAGGAGAGATCCGCTACTTACCGGATGTCCGCGTGTTGTGGGAGCATTCCGCGGCCTGGATTGCATTGGATGTCTTTGCGGCTGTGGAATGTCAGTCAATTCTACCCAGTATATGAGAAGAGTTGCACTAACCAGAGCAGTTGTAGGTACCGGGGCATTTGCCCTTAGTGTTGGAAGTTGCCGGGTCGAGAGTAGCTAGGGCAAGCGTTGCGCTGAGAAGCACGGAGATCAGAGACTTGGAGAACATGATTGCGGTGGTCCCGATGCTGTTGAGATGTCTTTGGATGATGGTTCTTCGTGAGCTTTATATCTTTTTGGACCACAAGTCTCCTTTTCTCGAAACGACATTGAGATGATCCTGAGACCTGCCGCGTCGTCGGTTTCAAGAGAGTGGGTCAAGAGTATCAGGCCAGACTTGAAGGAGAATCTTTGTTTTAGGCATTGTGGGATATCTACAGCAATGATGTCCATCAAGTTACAAATTAAGGAGAAACCCCGCAGTTGAAACACAGCCTGACGGGCTAAGCATAAAGCATCACATATCTATCTGGAGTCGACGGCCTTGATCTTAAGGTAGTGGTATGACGACTCTCCGGGAATATGCTGTGGGGATTGTGTCATATATCGGTGATCCTTCTTCATCTCAGGTTCTAGATTCTCATGGACCAATATCATTATTATACTACTGCTAAGGAGTCAGTTGCTACGTGTGCTTGTTATGCAAATTGCTGAGGCGCTCCTCCCTCACCCGCTCATGGAATGCCGTTTGTTCCAATGCGATAGACTGCAGATATATCAATCAGACACACAAATTATCATGGTCGTTCTATAAGAACGCCTCTGATATGGCCTCTACTTCAATAATATACTTTCAATCACTTTGGCATGTTGCACCAAGGCCTCATCCTTCAGCCGTCTGCCGATGAGCTGCACATGGCATGGCGCACCTTCGACTTCTTTAGGCTTGTCTAGATCCACCTTTAGATACAGTTCTCTGGAAGAAGAGAGAGTACTTACACGCTGGGATGTACTGGACATCTCTCACAAACTCGGCGTCGGCAACCTCCTCCGCCTTGCAAAAGGGAAGAACGCAAGATGGATACTGACAAGTCAGCGACGTTCCTGCATCGGATTGACTAGAACTTACATCGACCAAGTTGAAGAAAACGGTATATGGTGGCAACCCGTATGTATCGTGAGGAACGGCACAGCTCTGGTAGCCCGGTCCGATGATAACATCCAGCTGATTCTCGAGGAAGGCCTTTCGCACCTCCGCTGTCACTTCGCCCCGCGTCACGTTTATATCGAACAATTCCCGCAGCGTCGGCTCTGGTCCAGGCTCGTCGAGATTATATGTGGAGCGCAGGGAGGGGATGGGAGGCTCGCCGCTGTCGGAGATCTTCTTCAAAATAGTCCGGTCGGGATCCATGTTGAAGTATCGGAAAGACAGCTCACATGCGTCGGAGATATTGGGCAATTTTCCCGCCAGGTTGATAATACGATGACCGGCCGCGGCGAGTTTCTTCACGGCGAGAGCCAGAGTCCGCTGCATGGGCGGATGAATCGGGTACGTAGGGTCCTCTGCCATGACGCCGATGGTGAGCACATCCTTTGTGGGCGCATTGCTCCAGGGAAAGCCCACGACGTTGTCGTCGAGATTCTCAGGCTGTGAGTTGAACACGGTCCGAAGGAGGAGTTCAGCGTCCCTGATAGAATGGCACAACGGCCCTGCGACGGGCGCAATTCCTACCATCCCGCCTCGGCCGGCCGCTGTTTGACCCGCGTATGGCACCCGGCCAACAGATGGCTTGAAGCCGATGGTCCCGCAGCACAGCGCCGGGATGCGGATCGATCCTGCAATGTCGGTGCCGACGCCTAGCACCGAGCCGCGTAGGGCCAACAGAGCACCCTCACCCCCCGAGCTTCCCCCCGCCGTGAGATTGCGGCGGTACGGGTTGAGGACACGGCCAAACACGTTGTTATGCGAGTCTGCCGTCATCATGGTCTGCGGGACATTGGTCTTGACATAAAGAACAGCACCGGCGGCGAGGAGGATATCGACCAATGCCGAGTTTGTGGTAGGAGCCGGACGGTCCAGGTAGGATACAAACCCGAGACAGGTTGGCACGCCAGCAACATTGAAGGTCTCCTTCATGCTGATGGGAAGGCCATGAAGGGGTCCAACGGTCTTTCCTGTGGCCGCCAGATGGTCATCCAGTTGCCGAGCTCGGGCGAGCGCTCTGTCGAAGAACGTTTCGGTCAAGCAGGAGGTGAGCTGCTGGGCAATAGCAGCACGTTTGCAAAAAGCTGTTGTTACTTCGACGGCACTGAGCTCTTTTGACGCCAATTTTTGCAGGAGATCAGTGGCGTCGTAGTTTTCGGTGATGTCAAGCTCGCGATCAGAAAGAATACCGCACTTTGTGGGAATGTCAAGGATATTAGACTCGTTGGAGATGGCATTCAAGATATCTGAGGAGAGTCTCCATTCCGGAGGAATCTTGCTAGCAGCCTCAGACTGCTTGAACTGAGCTTTCTGTTGCCAGTCGACGACGGTCATGGTGGAGAAGATATAGTAGAATGATAGAGAGATGTAATTTCACAACTACAAGGAAGCCAACCCACCACGCATCGAGGTTTATATCTCTCTATGTTCATTAATCTCCGCGGATAATATGATCTCAGCCGTGAGGGGTAAATGAAACCAGACAAAGAGGAGTCGGCAACCAGCCAGAAGAAGATAACCATATCAGGCCAATCAAGAACTTTTGCGCGACAGGGGGCGGAAATAATTCCATCAGATTGACAGTTTCGTTCGTATCTGGTTCAAGAAACGCCAGGGATAAATTCTTCAATATCAGGAGACACCAAACGGACCGGCTTCATCTGTTCGAGAACCATCCTTGGCCTTGAGAACTCGCCATTGCCGAACAGAGAACAGTTCAACAAGCCATAGACGAGTACATTGCTACTCTGGAGGTTCCTCTACGAGAGCTGAATAAAAGCGTATGCTAGAGATTGCTCATTCTTCAACAGATCCATGAAACCCGGAAGTAGCGTATGAAGAGCACCACGCTCACGACACCCTCTGTGCCTTTCTGGAATCCTTGAATATCCCAGTGACTCGCCATGCGTACGGGATCCCGACAGCATTCGAGCCTACAGTCGGCGATCAAGGACGCTGTGTCAGTTTCAACGCTGAATACTATGCTCTACCCGGGATCGGACATGCGTGTGGCCATAATCTTATTGCCACTGCCAGCCTGACAGGCTTCCTAGCTCTGGCATATGCTATCAAGAGGTTTGGTCTCCCTGGTCGAGCGCAACTACTCGGCACGCCCGCAGAGGAAGATGGAGGAGGGAAGATTGATCTGATCAGTGCGGGAGCGTACAAGAGAGTGGATCTGTCCCTGATGATGTAGGTTTGCCTCGACAGTACTCTGCAAGCGAGCTAATGATAGCAGCCATCCTATGTCAGAGGACGAGTTTCTTGGTCGGAAGGTCACTGGTATAGCTGGACGCTCATCCATCGCGTTGTATGATATAACCTGTACGTACGAAGGGGTGAGTGCTCATGCAGGAGCCAATCCGTGGGAGGGCGTCAATGCTCTCGACGCGATTGTGATGGCGTACAATGGTGTCTCCATGCTGCCTCAGCAGATCCGGCCCGATGAGAGAATCCATGGGGCCATCGTTCAGGCTCCGACTATCACGAATGCAATCCCAGAGCTTACAAAGACCAAGTACACGGTGCGCAGTCCGACTATCACAGGGACCAGGGTGCTTGGTGAACGCGTACGGCGATGCCTGGCGGCCGGTGCATTGGCGACGGGATGTAAAATCACGCTCGAGGAAAGCAGTCTCTATGCTGGTCTTGTGGTCAACTCTTCTCTTTGTGAAGAGTTTGCGCGGAATAGGGCCGATGAAGGGGACCGGATCCTGCAGACGGATGACATTCCGATGACGGGGTCAACTGATCAGGGCAACGTCTCTCGCGAATAGGCGTGAACTCCATCTCTGATATCTGTCGCGTGGATAACCTTCCCATTGTCTTTCCGGCACAGAAATATGGTTCGGCCCGGTGCTGGAGCCAATCAGCGATATTTGCGCGCTTCTCCTCTGCATGGACTCTCAGAGCTGCCAGAGGAAGAGTCACCTCCACCATGGAGGACTGGAGTCATTCCCCGGATTCCTGGGGAGTCTGCATTGCGTTGGTTCCCAACATCCGCACTCTGATGATGATCGGTCTCACGCTTACCAGTGTCCTGGGCATGGTGCTTATGTATGCTCCGGGCCCATCGAACCAGGCTGGCCGCATGGCTGGCTTCTGTCTCAGCCTCGCCTTTTCCGCCAACATGCCCCTTGCCCTGTCTTTGATCACCGGTAATGTCGGCGGATACACCAAGAAAGCAGTTGTCAATGCGTGCGTGCTGGTCATGTACTGCGTGGGCAACATTACTGGCCCGCAGTTCTTCAGTGTCGATGAAGCGCCCAACTATCCGCGAGGCGTCAAAGCAAGTCTGGTGGGATTGTGCTTGGGGGCGTTCTGGATCGTCTGTCTGCGTGCCTATCTGATGTGGCAGAATGCCCGGCGTGAACGAACACAGCCAGAGATGGAGCAGAGTAGTCAATTCCAGATGATGCTCGAAGACAAGACAGACTGGGAGATTCCGCGTTGCCCCTATGTGTTGTAGGCCTGCGTCCTGTGTTATTGAGTGTACAACGATCCTTGTGCTACGAGCGAAGGAAGGTATCGACATCACTATTGGATAGTCAATGAAAATCTTTAGTCCGTTTGGATTTATGTGTATCATGTGCAGTATTGGTAAAGCAACCAATACATCGCATCAGTCAATCCATAAATATCGCCCCAAAATGCAGAAAAAACAACAACCTGATTTGTGGGTATCTGGTACATACATGCTTCCCTAACGCCGAAACCAGCAAAGAGAGAAATCACCAAAAAACAATCAAAAGGCTTTGGCTGCTAATGACCCTTCGATCGGTCGCTTGATGTGGTCATCTTCTCGGTTGGTGACAGACTGCCCTTCGATTGACGTGAGCGAACCTCCAAATCCTTCAGTTCGCGGCTTCCCCGGCTGCCCTTGTCGCTGGCTGCAAGGGGTGAGGTCACCATTGCGGTGTCACGAAGGCGAAGATGAGCCGTTTCCCGTTTGAACTTCTCCGAGTCTACCTCCCATCCCAGTTTGGTATGTTTTCCTTCAGAGTCATCATCAACAAGCGGGTCTTCTCTCGTGAAAGAACCAGGCTGCAGCGCCCCTGTGACCAAGTCTCGTATCATCTTCCGAACACTTCCCGCGTCTTCCGCTGGGCGTTTGGCCACAGTGCCTTTCTTCTGTTGGAACTCGAGCTGCGTGACCCGATCATGGAGAGAGTCGGTATCCACACCAAGATGACGGCCCAGCGAACACATGGCGGCAAAGGGATTAGACTCTATAGCGCGGTCAAGTTCCCCATCGATAGAGTGCAAACGGGAGGAAGTGTCGGAATCATCATCGGAATCGGAGGAGTCGTAAAGCTCTCCATAGTTGACAAGCCGAATGGTCGCGTTCTCGAGGTTGTAATGCTTGAGAAGGGTTTTCAATTGATTCCCTTTTTTATGTTAGCAAGATTAAGACATGGCAATAGAATGTGACAATGACGTACAGTTCTTCCGATCTTGCAGTCGATAGAGTCTAAGAGCCGTTTTGGGGAAACACTGTGGCACTGGAACTGGTTGATGAAAGGAGTCGTATACAGGGATGGCTTGTATCCTTTGGCTAAGGTGGACCACCTTGAAATTTGCAAATAGTGCTTCCAAGGTGTCAATCTTGTCGAGCTTCTGCGACATTTTGTCCATTCTCTCATCTGTGTGACGGAAACGTTCATCAACTCGACGAAATCAACTCGAGAGAACCCTGCGTCCATTTTCTCATAAACATTGCGGAACTCCCTCTTGATGCCCTTGTCCCGAACCTCATTGTCCTTGATCAAATCGTCAATCCTTTCGTGCAGGGCCCGGTCGCGAATCTCGAACTGCTTGTCAAGTTGCTCCTGCAGTTTGCGAGATTGATGTTGAAGTTCATGGTTGATATCGACCGTGAGCCTCTCAGAAAGACCCGCAACGGCTCTCCCGACGGATTCTTCGATTCATTGGTCCATTTTGATGATAAAGTGATGAATCGCACCTCACCATTGCATGGTCAAGGTTGGTGTGGATAGAGAAGACAGACGATGAAAGCGGGCAGGTGGACGAATGAGTCAGGTGTCATCACTCGACTAGAGGGTGACGTGAGTTCTTATCTTGTGTGGCTCAGCATCAGCCCTTATCAGTCAGCACCGCCTCCTGTTCAGCCACTCAGCCTCACGTCAACAAAACAAATTAGTTACTTGTATTGCGCAGCAATACTGCATCAATTTATCTATCAGAAACGTACCATATTATCATCTTAAAAGACTGCATGGTGTGCTTGAGGTCTCATTTTGTTCCTTCCTAACTATGATGTATTGTCTACGCTTCCTCTTGTAAGACCCTGATCAGCTCCTTGGGTTGAATATATCCGGGTGATTGTTGAGGCTAGGAGAGCTTTCATCTTTTGTGGCTTTCCCCCCTAGATCTCCTGGCATATCTGAGAAGACATTTCTCGAAATGTCTTCAGAACAAAGATGCTCCCACTCTTCTATATGCTACAACACCTCTCCTCATGCTACTGAAGTAGGTTATAAACAACCAAGTCAGAAGCAAAGGACTGCGGCCACAAGACCTGCAGCATCCCAAGGACAATATGGCCGTATTGATCCAAGCATATTTCCAGCTCCATTGGTTTTGCCTGGCGATGACCTTGCACTGGATCCCGAGTACCCACCGCAATCTTTTCAGGAGTGGTTGGACGAGGAGGACCGCAATGAAGTCACCTCAGACAGAAGGACAGTCTATGTTGTTGCGCCACCTGACTATGATGAAGATGCCTATTTCGCGAAGGCATGGACCTCTCCTAGAGTAGGCAAAGCGCAGCATCAGTTAGTAAGGCCTAATCCACAAGACATCGTCGGTTACCTGGCAGCATTTTACCATGGGGTCCCCGTCAAGCTCCTTCGAGTACCTGACTTTCGATTTGTTCCTTGGGATGGTCAAAAATCCAAGAGCTCCCCCCGCTTCGTTGGTTTAGCTGTTGCAGACGAGTGCATTGGTATTCGGACACGGGCATGCCCGGACAAAGTTTACCCTCGCCAATTGAACCTCGACGATCTGCTAGATGTGGCGATAAGCATACTTCCCAAGAATGCGTATGCCATGTGTCTTCTCGTCAACCATGATCTCTATGAGGACGCTGATGATGCTTTCGTCTGCGGACGTGCATATGGTGGAAGTCGCGTCGCAGTTGTCTCCAGTGCCAGGTATTGTCCGACCCTGGACGAAGTTCAGTCGGTAGAGCGGGAGCATTCGTGGCCGGCATCACATTGTGACAATTACGTCCGAAAATTCAGCTCCTCCTACGTGGTGAGCGCCAAAAGGCGAAAGATCTCAAGCGAATCGTCCTCCTTGGCTGCTTTGCCATTAACGGCCGCGTTATCTGCATTGTCTTCCCTCCCAAAGATCGATTCATCGCCACGGTTATTGTCATCACTCTGGCTTTCTCGAATGTGTCGCACAGCGAGCCATGAGCTAGGCCATTGTTTTGGTATTGATCATTGTGTTTATTACGCATGCATCATGCAGGGAAGCGCGTCTCTGTCAGAGGACACGAGGCAGCCGCCGTACCTCTGTCCTGTTGATTGTGCGAAGCTTCTACATGCAACCGGAAGCACAGCTAGGGAACGATATCTCGCACTTCTGGAGTATTGCAATAGAGCGGCGAATCACGAAACACATTTCTTCGCTGCGTTTGCTGCTTGGTTGACTGCGTTTCTCAGTACGGTTACAAGGTAACCCTTTCTTCCGTGGGAACCATACCCCCAGACAATCTCCCAAATGATAGTCGAGCGACGATCACCCACAGAGAAGACTATTTTGTGGGACCCTGTCCGTCGACTAGTCAATTTTCTACAATTGGGAGTTGGGACACGAGCGTGAAATCAGTCTAGTTGCAGTTGCGTTCACGTCAGAAAGTCAATCACATATTTTCTCTTCAATGTTGGGGAGCCATTGAGGAATAGGCGGATTTAAACCTTCCATTCGGGAATTGCAAGAGATGTACGACCTGTGATCAAACACGGGGTACGATGAAATAACATGAAACTATCCCTTCGGATATCCAGTCAACACTCAGACGTAGAGCCTTATGGCTTCTGCCAGATTGTATATCTATAAACCTCATCCCTATCAGCCTCGATGGCTATTCTTTTGCTTTCCTTTCCAGAGTACTCAGCGAACATCCGCTCAACAGAATCGGTCTGGCTCCGCAAACCGGGTTCCTCGAATCGATCCGCAACTAGGCCGGCGATTGAAAGCCGGGCCTGCACATCCGGGACTCCATGTTGGGCACTCCACGCAGCGAACCCCGTGAGGACCAAGCCGCACACGACATACAGTAGACAGACCACGACCAGGGTAACAAGCGGGGCCGCAGGGATGCGTGCCACGAGCAATGTCTGTCTCTCCTGGGCGGCCAGCGCAGGCCGTACCCCGAGCCCATCCGCCCCAAGGGCTATGGTCACTTTGCTAAGGGCCAGGGCAACTTGTTCCGCGAACTCCTGGGCCGTATCGCTGAAGATCGCCGTGCCAACAGCCTGCTGGAAAAAGGGGAACCAATCTTGGGTCTGCGAAATGCTTGTCTGCCAGATGTTGCTGACCGAGGTGTTGCTGACCGTGGGCACAAAACGGGTCACGGTGTTATTGAGGCGGTCGTACTCAATGTCGTAGATCGTGGTGTTGCAGCCCAGGACATAGGTCGGGACGCCATGGAGGCTTTGCACAAACTCGGTTGAATTGGGCGTCTTGCCTCCGGACAGGTTCACCATGGACGCTAGGGCGAAGTAATAAGGGTTGCCAGTGCCGTAGTTGGACACCACGTTGCCCCTAAGGTTTTTGCTCATACTTTCGTTCTCGAAGAATGCTACCTGCAGATCGGGGGAGTTGATAAACCCGGAAAAGCCAGCGGAGCAATTGAATTTGACCGACGAGGCCACATTCCTCAAGTCGCATTTCGTCGAGATCAGCTGGCACTGGGTCCTGGCACCGTAAGTCTTGGCTGTGAAGTCTCGGATGGACAGCGATGCGCTTTCAGGTACCCCCAGGTATGTGTAGAGCACCTTGTGCTCGTCGGCATATGTGTATACCGTAGCCTGATCGGAGACGTTGTTCATTACCTGGAGGGAGGTTGTTGCATCTGCAAGAAAAGAGCCCGTGGCAGCTAAAGAGACGCTACATACCGGGCCGTTCGCATCGACCCGCTGCGCTGCCACAGAATTGTTACCTTTGAGACACTGTGGCAAAAGGCCAAAGCTGTAATCCGTATGGTTGGTGATTGGGAATACTCGGGTAAATGCGACGGTGGTCGTCGTGAGATGGAGCCAAGTGTCGGCAACAGAGACAAGCAATCTGGCCGGAGCTCAATCAGAAAAATCATCAGTAACACCAGCAGGTAGATGAACATACCCTAGAAGCGTTGCAAGTAAAGCAACCGTCGAAGCTGCTCTGAGAGGCGGCGTCTGGGTTTCGCTCTTCTTCTCCCATGAAAGAAGATAGAGGATCCAATCCCACGTTGCACCAAGAGGACTCCCATCAATGAACTTCAACGTCAAAGCCAGTTGATACGGGGTGGGCAAGTGATCTACACGACCACGCTGGATGTCATGGGATAATCGGCGCGCGATTGGAAACGAAGCTAGGGCCAACACAAAGCCCGATAACATGGGAGCCACGGAGCTGGCCCAGGACGTAACGAAGAGGACGACGCTTGAGTTCAGATTAACGTAGTACACATCCTTCTCATCGTCTGCGGAGGCCAAGCGGAGATTCTGAAACGGGGGGTCTCCGTGGTAGATACGGTAATGGAACACAAGCACCAGGAAGACAGCAGTCAGTGCAGAAATAGGGACGGTGATCAAGAACCAGCTCCAAGCAATTCCAGCTCGGTGGGTGGAAATTCCTTGGGCGCGCGTGGACTTTGGTTTGTGCCGCAACAAAGTAGAGTCACTTTCAGTGGTGACAATCGGTTCTGTTTGCGCCATGACCAGTGATGATATTTGATATGGAGGATAGGAAACGAGTTGATCAACCTTTTCCAAGCTGTCCCTCCATGGCCTGCCGGCGAAACCTTGGGAGTCGACTGAATAATATATGCACATTCAACTCACGAAATCGCGGAATTTACCAGGCGCCAAAAATGGGGCTAAAAGGCTGAGCGTCAAGGCTGAGCATCTAGGGCCGAGCTCTGCATCCTATCATATCCAGTCAGCACTGGATTAAGGGGTCATCGGCCTCAGTATCGGTCTCAGTCGATGCAAGGATATAACGGCGAATCGAGCCAGTGAGCCAGTCAAAACAGTTCCGCAAAATAGCCGCTTTGACGTACCGCCCCAACAAATACATTTTCGGTAGACCGTGCTAACAATTTCTGGCGAGTTTGCTACCGCTGTTGCTTATCTGGACCAGCTTGTCATACAATCCCAGCGAATCAAAATACTCTAGTAAACGCTCTTAATCGGAATGAATAAGGATGGAGGCTGATTCTTCGAAGTCTAGCAACTAGCTCGTATCAATAGCAAAGAGTGGCAGCTTTGAGATGAGAATGTTGCAAGGCAGAATCGGCATGTTGAAAATGAGATTTGGGATTGGGATTGGTACTTAGAAATGGTTAAATGAATGCATACCAACAGCACTACTGTACAACATTTCGGCCAGCCTTTCACCTGGGCTATAAGGACACTTATTATCATTGTATCTAGCACTTACAGCTTAGTTCCTTGCATTCAATATAAGTATAACTAATTTATATACAAGTCACTAGTGTGATTTATCAGTGACTCTTCACAATAAAGTACACATAATTATCTTATATCTTTTCCTACTGTTGTTGTACTTATGTTACTTTTATGGCAGGATTCTGGTTAGATCACTTATTAAATATCATCGTGCATTGTGTATACCTGTCCAGTATTTTCGGACAATAATCAGACTATAGTCAAGGACGATAATACCCTCTCCCAAAGAAATAAAAGCACAGAACAGCAGAGACGGATCCCAGAGTGTGGCACAGCCATTCGGAATGTCCATCCACACATGGTTAGTAAGGTCTATAGATATCATGAATTGACTGCAGGTCCTTCAATTTACCAGACTCCTGAGTGTTAAGATGCAAGATAACTTGCCCTGGTCACTAGTAAGAGAAACATTGAGAGAGCATCGAGACGGACTTCCAAGACTAAGTCATTATTTCCCATTAGGTGTCAAACCTGGTTTCAGATTTGCCATCACTGCCGCTGTTATGCAAAAGTCACTATCGCATATTGTCATTTGAGTGATATCTACTAAACAAGTCAAGTGGCACTTAATAACCGTTAAGCCTTTGGACCAGTGCGGACTGTATTACTACTTCTCCTTCACACTATGAAAGCTCTCTTTGTTGCAACAGGGGCGGGTAGTATTGCCTAAAGAATTCACTGAAATAATGCTTTTACTGTAACAACAACACAGGTTTAATGTTTAGCTGAGTGGCCTTCAGGGGCAGCTGCGCGAGACATTTGAACTGGATACCAGTAAAGCATGGATATCAGCAACCCAGATATAGCCTATAAGTACTTTCTCTGGTATAAGCAATCGAACACTATGCCCAGATTTGAGAAACTACTTAGTAACTTCATACTAAGGAATTGTAGAGTCACATTCCTCTTTGTAAGGAATCTATCTAGCGCTACTATATGGGTTCTGATCTGTGAGATACCAGGGCAAACGCAAAAGGGAGTGCCGTACATGGACCAGAAAATGGATGAGGAGTTTCTCTAAAATATCACTTGGACCCCCACCTTCCAGCAGCTTTCATGCTGGGTTCTAGCTAATAATAACAGGGTAATACTTCCATAACCTATAGTGGTTCTCAACTTTAAGCTAGATCTCAAATCAGAAACAAAGACTATTTTACTGGTAGGACCAGCTCCTACTACACTAGTCCATACTAAGCCTTTCACAGCACTACCCATATTAAATCTTGACCTAAACCCTATTACTACTGTAGGTAGCCCCGTAGATGTGCGCATCTATGGCAAGGCGAGTGACTTGATCTCTCTCTTTGAAATATTAAACCCAGCCAACTGCTATTACGTAGTCTTTGTGGACGGATACAAACAGAGAAATCAGAACCCAGACTTTCAGCAAAGCCTGCGCTGAAAGAACCTTCCGGCTTGGTTTCAAGCTTGACCAGGGATACCGGCACCCTAATCACCTTGACGGCTCCAAAATCCCTGAAGGTTAATAGGTTGTCTTGATAGGAGTTACCGCAGGCCTGTTCACAGTGACTAAGCAGGGAGCCCTGCTCGTTCTTTGCCATTATAGTCATTTTCATCAGCCATTCATCAAATGACCAAAGTATCGCTTCGGACTGGAGACGGGGGAAACAGTGATTCTTTCCTGTTTCCATCCATTAGGCCTCTACAGGAATGAAGGCCGAAACAACGGAGGGCTTAAACAGTATTCCGAAAGATTCGTACAGTCGATCCGGAAGTTAATGACATCTTTCTTCTCTTGAGAAGCCGCCGGCAAGTCATACTCAGCAGCTGCTGGATGGTTGTGGCTCTGGTAGCAAGATGCTATCGGGATGATTGATTACATTGTTACCTGCGCTCACTCGCGCTCTACATAGTACAATCAAAACATAATGACTATCGTTGAAAGCGATCTTGTTCGGCGTTTGATTGCCAAGCATAGACCAACCTCAAACATAGCATCATTGCGGGATGGTCGAGATATTACCCGATTTGGAAGTGGTTGCGAACGCTAAAATGGTGGACCCTAGGTAGGCTTCCCCAAATTGCCCGTATTCTGGGTCATTCAATTGAGGCGAGATGGATTAGTTCGAGTACTCGCCTCTTTTCAACTTTGACAATCTCGTTATGGGGGTGTGAATACTTCTGGTCGGCATGTTGCTGTCTTATGTTGGAACCCAAGCGCTTCCGGATTGATGCCTGGGTATTTGCCCACTTCGTACGCAAAGATGTCTTGATATCTTTCTCGCAGAGGGTCATGTCATCAGATCATCAACGGACCTGCTCAGCATCTGCACCTCCGAGGTACTAGGTTGAATGTCATACCTCAAGCGGGGTGGTTCGTTGTGGAGAGCAACATACTCTCATCAAGCCTCACATGCTGATCGTCCACGGTAGCTCGCTACGGATTAGTCTCCAGATCGACGGGCTTTGTCTTCCATTCATACGTGGAACGGATTTTGTTGGGAACCAAGATCCACATATACTGACGTTGTGGAATGTCGCTGGCCTCTTCACATGTCGTGGTATCTCCAGACTACCGACGTCTCTGTAAATCGAAGCCGACGAGCCTATTTAAAGAGCGGGTCATCACTCAAGGCTTCTACGGATTTACAAAGCCCTTGAAACATCGCCATAATGGAGACCAAAGGCAACCCGAAAGACTCGATGAAGTCCACCTGGCGTACTGCCAGTAGGGAGACCTGGAGCCTCGGACACTGGCTCATTCATATACTCAACGTCTACCCTTCAGAACTCAACAAAGAAGTCCCGGTGCACTCCAAGGACGAACCAATCCCGTTCATGCCGCAGTGGTCGCTGAACCTCTGGGTTATCTTCTACTCGTCCCTACCACTAGTGTTTCATCAGGTCTATGCATGGTACACTGGACGCAACTTGGGTCCCTTATCCGTCTTCAACCTGTATTTCTTTGCCTTCAATGCGATCGTCATCTACCAGGTACACATACTCCGCCGACTTGGTCACATATACGGCTTTCTGGATGGTGACAAACATGAACGGGACGGCATTCCTGACGTCGGGGTGGGCAAGGTTGTGGCTTCGCTGTACAAAACGATGGGTTCTCGCTTGGCGCTATCGGTGTACTTCTCCTATCAAACCAGTCAGCTTCCCGCACAGATGAACTGGTATTGGTTGCCCATTGAGGTTGGGCTGTACGGGATTGTGCTCGACTTCTGGTTTTACTGGTATCATCGCCTCATGCACGACGTCAGCTTCCTCTGGAAGTATCACCGCACCCACCACCTCACTAAGCACCCCAATCCTTTGCTCACTGCATATGCGGACCACGAGCAGGAATTCGGTGACATGGTCGGTGTGCCGATGATGACCTACTTCACTCTGCGATTGCTGGGTATGCCGATGGGCTTCTACGAGTGGTGGATCTGCCATGAGTATGTTGCTTTTGCAGAGGTATTCGGACATAGCGGCCTGCGCATGCATCTAACCGTCCCATCACCCCTCAGCTGGCTACTGCAGTGGCTCGATGCTGAGATTGTCATTGAAGATCATGACTTGCATCATCGAAAGGGCTGGAGGAAGAGTCACAACTACGGCAAGCAGACTCGTCTCTGGGATCGGATCTTTGGAACCTGTCATGAGCGAATCGAGTCTGCAGCTGGAAATGTGGATTATGTGAATACCGCCAGGATGCCATTGTTTTGACTTGGATTTAACGCTGCTGAGAGAGCCTGAAGTATAAGAGAACAGAAATGCAGAGCTGAATTGGAATCCTTGCCTGTATATAATTCTTCGTATGCTGGCAGAAGAGAAAGCATGACCGGAGGCTTGATGAATAAATGGTCTTGATTATTTTCGAACTACATCGTCGTGGACACTGTCTTTGACATAGTAAGCCTTTGCATTCTAGAAGTACATATGGAGGCATTGTATTGATGTCCTCAGCACTACGCAGCCCAGCATCATTATTAGAAACGTACGTGTCATCAACCCTCCTGGAATACCTGAACCCTTACATCCATGATCTGGCTCAACAGGTATCGTACCATGTCTTCCATATAGTAGTAGTAGCTCCATTACACCTATCTGAACTGAATCAAGTCAACTATTCATGCGCGCCTCTCGTTTCTTCCTCCGTTAGCATATCGATACCGATTGCTTGACCATTCATTTTGATGTGCATACCAGGGGTCAGGAGCCAAAGCAAGCTATTTATCCCGGTCTGAGAGCAACGCAAATCGAAAAGCCATCATCTTCCTGGAACAGTTCAATAGTCCGAATAACGGCTCCATCAACATGGGCCAGAAAACGAAGTGTTGAATCGAAGCAGTAAAGTTAGACAGCATCAAGTGGGCCAAGTATGCGATGAAAATGGAACAATCAGACGCACATGAAGATGCGTAACATACTACTCCATATGGACTCTCAGGATAGTCTTGCAATATGCCACGGTACCAGGCCTGAGGATGAATCATCTAATTAGGTTTGTGATTCACGCAACCACCAATATTAATGTAACCTGACCACGCTGTAAGCTTGAGGCCCAGGGGATCTCAATATGCATGTCTGATTGGCTCAGTATGTCCATTCATAGGCAGAAGACAAGGCACGTGAATTCCTCATTTTACCTCTGCATGCGTAAGATTGAACCAGATGAAAAGACTTGTACAATCTGCAATGATTCTCAGTTTGCAATAAATTAGAAGACGACGACGTTGAACTACCTGCCTGTTGTATAGCTTTACGAGAGTGCCGAGAGTCCCGTCCCTGCCTATATCACGTACCAACGCCCAACTCCGTCATCCTACATGCGTAACCGCGACCTTGCTTATAATGCTAAAACGAAAGCTTACCGTCATGAACGAAAAAAGCAAGAGATCAACGCATGAGCTCGTCGATCTGCTTGACTAATTCCTGAAAGCGGATCGGCTTCGACAGGAAGAGATCAATGCCGGAATTAAAGGCCTCCTGCCGGACCGGGGCGCTGCCCAAACCCGACAGGGCGATGACGGTCGTGGGTTTGACGCACGAATGGCCAGCATTCGTGCTCCCTTCACGATGCATCTTCTCGAACAGGCGGATTTCCCGCGTTGCCTCGAGACCGTCCATGACCGGCATGGAGATGTCTGATTTGGTTAGTTGGACGAAACGGATAGCATTTGTAATAATACTAGGCCACTCACCCATGAGGACAACTGGAATCTGCCCGAAATTCGTCTTGTACACTTCCAGAGCCTCGAGCCCATTGGAAGCCGTGTGGTAAGGAAACTTGGCCTTTTTCATAAAAGCAACCAACAGCTTCAGATTCACGTCGTTGTCGTCAACCAAGAGGACGGAGGGGGCCTTCCTCGTTGCCTCTATCATCGAAACTTCCATAACCGAATCATCGACGTTAGAGGTAGTCACTGAAACTGTGGTCTTCTCCGGCGTCAAGGAGAAGTCGACGCGCGACACGTTCTCATTCTGCCGCATAGCTTTGCCGGCTTGAGCCGCGGTGAGCAAGGCTGTGTCAATCCCGCCAATCGAAATATGAGAGGGCCGTTCCCTTTGGCGCTTGAGGCAAGCCAGAAGGGAATTGGCCATCTTGGACGGTCCGCATGGCTGACTGATGAACTCGTAGATTGACGTCGACGGTCGCTGACTTGCGGTGGTGGATAGTTTTTGCGCCATCTGAGGTGTCGAGCAAATCACAATCATCGGCGGGCTGCGCGAGTCACTCTCGGCCATTGTCACCTGCCGACAGATCTGATCCACTTCGTCGAGGTTTGCCTGTCGAACCAGATACAAGTCATACGACTGGTGATCCGGCACATCCGACGACACGAGACCGGCTTCCATCCCGAAATGCTCCTTGTACATGCGAAGAAGCGAGGAGCGCAAGAGAACAAGAGCTTCATCTTCCTCTCGTGAGGACGAGCCAAACCCAATCAGTCCAATCGACTTGCCACGTACTCGGTCTTTGGCTTTGCGGACAATACTGGTGTCGCGTTCGTTATCCGCGACTTCTGCCTGAGGAGTCCGTGGTAGATCCATCGTGACCGTCACCTCAGTCCCGACGCCCTTGGTCGAGGCGATGTCGACTTTGCCACCCAGTGATACCACCGTCTGATGGACAATGCTGAGGCCCAAGCCACTGCCCGGAGAGAGAGGATCTTCCTGCGAAAAGGGCTTGAACACATTGCTCTGCAGATATTGCTTGTCGATGCCCTGCCCGGTGTCTTTGACCGTCAAAGTCACGCTGCCCATGTCCTCCCGTGTCCCGTCTCCACGGGACAATCGTTTGGTCTTCGAGTTGGACGCCGATGACGAGTTACACTTCAGCGTCACATAGATGTAACCCGAGCGGGTGTACTTGAGGGCGTTACCGAAGAGGTTCATGAGGATCCGGCGCCAGGCACCGGCCTGTGTTTCAAACAACCATTGCACACCAGGCTCGACGTCGTAGATGATGGTGAGTGATTCATTAAAAGCAGAAAGCGGTCGCTCGGCAGTACCTTTCATAACCAAATCTCCATCGGTATCCCGGGCAGGAACCAGCGGAGCCGGTCGGGCAAGGAGGCCGCCCTTGGCGGAATAGCAATGACCGGCAAAGACGCTGTCCACGACTTCTTCCAGCACTGCGTCCAGCTGAACATCCGAGATCAGATTGACCACCCCTAAACCAGGTTTGTCTTTGGACGAGATACGGGCAGGTAACCCTGGCCGCCGACGAGGGGCGTGCGTAGATTTGAACCGAGATGATCGGGATTTACGAGTGAACTGGTTGATCTTGGCAAAGTCCAGCATATTGTTGATGATGTCAAGCAGCGACCGACCGCAGTGCTCAATCGTATTGACAAGAGCGACCTGGGCGGGCGTCATCGTGGAATCGGTCAGTAATTCCGTACTGCCGAGAATGCCATGCAGTGGACTGCGCAATTCATGAGAGATGCTGCCAACGAGAGTGGCGTGCGCCTTGTTCGCCAGCTCGATATCCAGCCGATGGATCTCAGCCATGATGCTGTTGGAGAAGGCGTAGAGATAGGCCAACTCGCCTGTCAGACTGAAGACGCGCGGCGCAGTCGTCCACACAAAGAGCCCTGAGAACCAGCGATTGCGCCGTGAATCCCAGAGAGGAAACATGGTCACACTGCGGGCCGCAGGGAACACCTTGATCAGGGTCTTGTTCTCTTCCTTGAGACTCCCTCGCTCTCGTTTTCTCTGTTTCCAGTGTCGCTGAACCATGGAGCTCTCGTTACGACGATGAACGATCTCTCGAGAGACGTAGCTTCCGGAGGCACTGTCGCTTCCTTCACTGGATGACACCCCACCGTTCTCATCGATGTTGAAGATGGCGCCGCGGGGATAATAACGGAGGAGGGATCGAAGAAACGACTCTCTCATTAGCCCGATCGATTTCTCGGAATCCCCCTGTGCAGTGGACTGTCCCAACACTTCACACACGGTGGAATCGTCCGTTTCCGTCGATGAGTGTCCGGTAGTCGGATTGTCACTGTCGCTGCTGGAATTGGCGTCTGCTGTGCTGCTACTGCTCTCGATGTCAGAATGACGACCGTCCGAGTTCCGTACCAAAGTCGCGTAAGAATTGACACTAGCGTCGAAGAAAACAACGCCCTCCACCTCTAACGAGTCGCGAAGGATACGAGCCGCGCGTGAAAAGATCTCTCTTGTACCAGATGCCAGAGTGACCTCTGGCTGACGGTGGTGACTGGGTGTTGGGAAGGTTCGAGACCGTGTCTCAGGCTCCTGTCCCCCATTGTGTCCTATACAGACAGGTTAGTTATTCTCCTGTTCGTTGTCGTCTGCTAGGAGAGAGAACAGTACCTGATGGAGATGCAGTGGCCTCCCTGTGGTGACTTCGTTCCTTGAGGGGGGAACGACCGTCCGCCCGTATTTGGTGATGCCGTCGCGTGTGTGGACTGGTGTTGGGTAAATTCTCTGACTCCGGTTCCTCATCCTCATCGTGAGTGTGTTTGTTCCTTCGGAGACTGCTGGACGGAAAAGTCGCCCCCTCGACAAAATTTCCCAATCCGGCGATCATGTTGGCTCCGCGGCGATTCTGTTCGTGAGAGCGCATCATTTCCAGATGATTCATGATGGCGGCGGCGGTGTCCGTCATGAACCGAATATCCAGCGGATCTAACCCTGCACGAGGCTGACCGTCACTCACTGCGAACGCGCCGATGGCAATGCCCCGACGGCTCATAATGGGAACGCCAGCGTAGAATCTCAGATGCGGGGCGTTCACCACATACTGTCGCTGGCTGCACCGGTCGTCCTTCGTCATATCAGGAATGACCAATGCGGAATATCCTCCATTCGGATTCTTTGCCCCGGCGTTGAGCTGTTCCTCCTCGCAGCAAAAGTGACAAATCCCATCTGGTTTCGGAATGACACTGCTGCCCAGCCACAAGGCATCACCCTCGACATGGACCCTGTCATCCTGGAGACTCAATGTGCGAGTTGATTCGGCGAGGATGTATTGCGTGTGACGATCAAAGAGCGAGATCATGCATCGTCGGGCATTCAATCGCAAAGCTCCGAGCTGCGCTAGCGCCGTCAAAGTGGTGTCTTGTGAGGATTGTGGCAGCAGTTCCGCATTGATTTCGCTCCGCGGAGATGGTGGTGGCCGATGGAGGAGACCCGGACGCTGAGGCAGCTGGCAATACCTGGCACTGAATAAGATGATCTGACTCTCTCGGGTGCGTGGGATGTGTTATGAAGCCCCAGTACGTACTTGTAGAATTCGCGCTCCTGCGCCATAGCGATCCCGGGGGAAGTGTCACAGCCTGAGGATGTAAATTCCGAGATCTCTAACATCTCATTGTTCGTTCTTCACCATTCTCTAGCACATGGCTCTAGAATTATGAGGGAGGCCGTACAAGTATAATTTTTTTTCAGTCCAGATCTCGAAAGAAATCGCCACTGGAAAAAGAAAAGGGATGTTAACCAGAGGAGCACGAGTTGCAGGCGAGGTCCAGTGCGGCGAGTCGGAAACAACTTGGAAACATGGAAGAGGCGATCTGTGAGGCCTAAGGAACCAAGGCCACAACGTCATTGCGCTATCCTGTCATTTGCATCGGAGGATCTCATTGGCTGTCCGGTGTCACACTAGCCGGCATCGGGAAAGGCCATTATGGTCCAGACCACCGCATCCCTCGGAGTCTACAGAGTACGGAGCACTCCAATGCTTTCAAAACTACCAACAGCCCCAGTATGGTGCAAGAGTTAAGAGACTAACAAATTATGAGAGATGCATCATCCCAGATCTGGAATATCAGTCTTCCTGGATGATTGATGAATCCATGATGGAAATCAATAGACAATAATGCACTTTGTACGGCAGCACCTTATTGGTGGCTTGGTCAAGATCCACCAACCCTGACCCACCCTGTCATGTGCTGCAGCCGAGCATGCCCGAGCGCTGAGGTGTCCAGTGTCCAGTGTCCAGTCCACCTTTCGCCCACAAGGAAGAGTCTCAGAGCAGTCATTGATGGAAAGAGGCGAGATCAATATCGATCTACAATGTATGAAGTTTCTGCTTTTCTGCTTTCAGTTCCTCAAAGATAATCCCTAGTCTGTAGGACTCATCACAGCACATGATATTAAGGGTGACTGAATATATTTCTGAGAAAGAGCATTGTGAGCCTCGGGTCTGCACTTAGCAGTGGATAGATATTGTTTCAATAAGAGGAGAATAATATCTCTGGATCATCGTTTTATATCTGAAATTGCCCCTCACTAACAGGCCAACAGCAATAGTAATAAACCTTAAACACAGTACTCACTACTCCGTAACAGCCTAGGTAACAGGATGATCATCATTGTCAATCCCTCGCTAGTGTAGTCAATCCTAGACTCCACTTGTTTAAGAGTTATGCCACAGAAGATCTCTCATATTCCGCCTTAATGCAGAGTATTGCTAACCTGAATTTGCCAGGACATACTGCTATCTTCATCAAGAGCACTTGCGACTTTACAAACAGTTGAGAATAGGTAGGATTGATTTTTGAGCACCAAAGACAGACTGCCTGCAATTTACCATTAGTTTTAGCTCCATGTAAGCCCGATTATCTTTTTGGCTGCCTTCTCGAGATCGGTATCCGTGCTGATGTTCAATTCTGATGCCGAGAGCTACAGTTCACATCGATAAGTATAGTCTTTTCTTGGGAAAGAGTATGTCATGGCTCACCATTTTCAGGGCTGCGTCACAGTTAGTGCCTTGCAGCCGGACTACTACAGGAATTGTGAACCCTCCCAGGGTGGATGCTGCTTGTATTATGGATTCGGCAATCATGTCACAGCGGACAATGCCTCGATTCATTAGAAAAACTTTCTACCCGTTATGCAGGAGCACACATACCTCCAAAAATGTTGATGAAAATACCCCGGACACGCTGATCTCGGCTCAAAATCTCGAAAGCCTTGAGCAATGTCTCAGTAGTAGCCTTGCCTCCTATGTCAAGAAAGTTCGCACATTTTCCGCCATGGAGGGTGATCAGATCGTTAGTTGCCATTGCTAGTCCGGCGCCGTTGACAATATTTCCAATGTGGCCGTTGAGGCGGATATATACTAGACCATGCTGCTGAGCCTCGTACTCGTCTTCCAAGTCCGGCATGCGCTCTTCTTTACTGAATATCTCTGGTTGACGAAACCGGGCGGCGTTATCGAAATCAAACTTTGCATCGAGACAGACAAAGTTTCCCTCTGGCGTTCGCACAAGCGGGTTCAATTCCAGAAGAATGGCATCCCTCTCCTCGAAAAGCTTGATCATCTGTCTGATAATCGACTCAATCGTCGGCATTTCTTTATCAGTGAAGCGCAACTGCTTCTGAATCCCGGCCATCGTCTCAGCAGTGATGCCGCGGGAAAGGTTAAACCAGAACCTGTGCAGTTTGTCCTGGTTAGACTCGATGTCCACACCACCCTGATCCGAGATGAGGATCACAGGACTGTATTCTTCGCGATCGAACGTCAATGAAAGATAGAACTCTTGTTCGACATCGACTGCTTTATAAATATACAATTTCTTGACGAGAAGGCCGCTTGGTGGCGTCTGCTTTGTAGTTAGGTAATGGCCAAGCATTCTGGACGCATTTTGAAACGCCTCTTCTGGTCTGTTTGCTCTCATGTCAACTTCCTAGAAGTAAATGAGGTTGTTCCTACCTGCACTCACGTTGCTACGATTCGAATGCCTCCTTTGCCGTCACTGCTCATCCTTCCCTTGCCGCGTCCTCCAGCCAGAATTTGCGACTTGAGAACCGACGGCGCACCTGTTCTGGTCAGGAGCATTCTAACTTAATCAATCTCTTCAAAAAGGCCTTACCAATCGATGACACGACAGCCTCCGCATCCCCAGGGTTTGTGACAACATATCCGTGTGGTACCGGAATTGCATACTCATAAGAGCACACTAAGCATCAATCACCACATTGAAGAAGTGCATCTTACCTGCTCGAGAAGCTTGTGGGAGTGGTGCTCTAGGAGGCTCAGCCGCCGTATTTGCTGCTTGGAGACTCTGCAGCCCTATATGTAACAGTCAAATAAGGGTCATGATTTGAAGCTTCCAAATCCGCGCACATATTGAATAAGCTGTGTGAGCCGGAGGCAAAACATTTTCAATAAGCAATGTTCATTGCCCCTGCTGCACTATATCAGTAGTATTGGACATGAATCAAAATTTCGGAAACTGAAGATCAAAGATATTCAATAAGATTGGCTATTTTCAAAATCCGAGCACCATCCGACCCGTCTGAGAAGTATAGTCCACTGAAGGTACGGTCATACCTGTCCGAATGTTAGAAGTATCAATCTCTGAAATAGTAGATTTCAAGTACTAAATAGTATTGGAGCATATAGTACAGATGACTAGGTTGGAAATATAAGGTGACATAGGCAGAATAGTCACACGGGATGCGCCGTTATAGCCACATATGCAGTCCATTTCCGATTTTCTGGTTGGACAAAAGCCAGTCTGGCACGATCAATCTGCTGTGGAATATGTTGATAGAGTGTGGCAATAGTACAACCTTGACTGGTTAAGCTTTCCGTGACGTCGATGATTATCACATAGATCCGTGGACGTTAGTACAATCTATAGTGGCTCCTGGGACTGTTGCTTCTCGAGCTTGTCATGAAAGGAATTTATGACTTTGCATGACCATCACGGTGAATTCATGTTATAAGCCAAGTCAGTGCTGCTTGACCTGCCTTCTCCTGGGAATATTCCGGAGAGAATGGAAACATAGACACATGAAAATGTGCTTAATGTAATGCTAGTACCTTAGAGAGTTATAAGCTTTGAGAGCGGGAATTAAACAAGAAAAGTCATCAAGTCACCACATATCTACCATAATTCCCCCCGGCGGACATTGTGCAGCCATGGGATTTATCTCTAGGATGCTTTGCACACAGGCTCGATGACATGGAGAATCGCAGGAGCATCAGCATCCTTTGACCAGATCTCAATACTGTCGGACTGGGTGCCCACGTAGATGGAAAACTCCCCATCAGCCTGTGCACCCTTACATGCTGCAGTTATATCCATTGCCTGCATGTTTTGATACGGCTCGAGAAACATGCTGCTGAAGATATCGCCAGATTCAGGAGCATTCTCGCCATCCACTGTGTCTTCATCCCAGTCGGAGGATAGTGCTCGGGCAACGGTTACATTCACGGCGAACGGATTAGGCCGAACGAAGGCAGGAAACTGCACAGTGCACTTCATTGCATCGGTAACTGGGACAGGGAGCCTGAAACCAACAAGGAAGCGCACCCAGGCCAGGCCGCCTGTGCTTGCTCTGAGGGTTTTGTCCTGGCCGAGTGTGCACTTATAACAGTTTCTCTCCGGGCAGTCGAGACAGCTGACAGTGGATCGCAGGATAGTGGAATCTTTTATGGCGGGCGCATCTCGAGCCCACGATGTCATGATGCAACTGGCAAGGGCAGTAAGCACAGTGCAGATGGTGAGAGGAGTTGGTGTATGCATCGTATGAGATTGTGGATCCCTGGTGGTTTTATGATTGAAATAACGACCTGATAGTTGAATTCTGAAGTTCCTGGGGCTATGAGAGCATCGAGGCTCTATATATATGGACAGCAATCTATCAGGAAGTAAAGATTAGTTGCGTGAGACGGCTCACATTTACCTCCCGCATTGGCTGAGTTGGTGTCTGCCAGCTGGCCGGCATATGACCTAGCTTCTGAGACAAATACGAAGGTTCTCCTTGATTGGAGGGCATCAGCTTTGAAAATTGGTATAATTGGATGTGTTTCTCCAATGTTACGAGCGCACAAAATAGAGTTGGACAGAGTCCTGTTGTTACGCGAAAATATGGAGGGTATGATAGACATCATGAGTTGAGAAGGTATGCGGATTGCTATTTTTGTCCCTGGCATCCGAGCCATACTTCGAACTTCCAAGCCATATTTTGAAGCCTAAAGTGACTTCATAATCCTGTAAAATAGGTTTCAGTCATATGAGGGAGCTCGTTGACATACAAGTCGCCCACCGCATGCCCGGCTTCTTTGTAGTTCAAGTATATAGGATAATTCCTTAACAAGGATCTTCCTTCGGTCTGATATGCTTTTTGGAAGGTGTTCTTGTCCAGATATCCTGGGTGACGGGAATATCCCGTGGGTCTCTTCGAATTTCTTCCTACTTGGGCTGGATTCTTCAGACTACTACCCATGTGATATATTAATATGTGGCTGCATGATATTACATGAAATTTCCTCCCATGTTATTTCTTTTACGCAGATGGTACTAATCAAACCAAGCATCATGATCTATTAGCTTGTATTCTCAGTCATGACTGCTAAGCGACTCTGATCAAAGGATAGTGATGGAGCTGAGTCTATGTAGAGAGAACATTGACGGCAGTTGTCTGACGGCGAGGATCAAACCTTTCGCATAAGCAAAGAAGGCGAAAACTATATATCCCTTGTATAACCATTATTAGAACGGCAACACTTCATTGAGCTGAATCCGTAGTGTGGAGGTATCCCATTACATTCCCTACCCTCTCCCGTGGTTTCTCAACCGAATCCATCCTGACCTTGCATTCATCGAGTTATTTGAGCGTGCGGAGTGTTGAAGGGGCAGGATATCTAATACTGCTAATCATTTTGAATCCCCACCGCTACTGCTGCAGCTGGATACTGAAGGCGCGAGATCGCAGCACCTTCTTCTGGTCAGTGCTAGGCTAGTGAAATGACTGAGTACGTGTTCGGATAGTGCATAGACTCAGATTCATTGTGGGTGATTGACATGAACCGAGATATTTCTTGATGCCTTAGTCAACAGCAGATGCTTCAATTCTCTGCAAAGTTGTCTGTCTAACAACTAGAGAAGCTGATCATGAGCGAATTTATCCACCACGCGGCTCATGGGACAACAGGAAATCGGTCGATATCGGAGCATCCGGGAATCAGATCCTGCAAGTCCGGTTTTGCATGATCCAGTGCGACTTCGGAAGGTGTCCGAATCTTATCAATCAATGCTCGATTTGGAAATCCATCCAATGAGCAGGATCTCCCACATTTCCATGAGCCAGAAATACCCATAGTTTGTCTTGGCTTCGACCATCCGAACCAATATGAGGGAGCGGCCAAGGAACAGTCCCACCAGGGTTTCATCACCGATGAGAATGCTGGGAGTGTCCCACAGCCCATTGCGTGTCTGTGAGAATCTTATCTGATCGAATTTTGTCTTCTGCTACGTACTTAAATTGATCGTCAATTTCACTTGCAGTTGACTCCTTGACACCTGGTCTTCCTCTGAGTCTCACTGTTTCCCTAGTTCCATGGCACTTGCGGCCTCTTCTAGCTTTTGTCTCTCTCTCATTCAAAAGAGAGTTTCTACTCCCTTGCTGATACGTTGTTTGTGCCATGGAGCCGGTCAAGTCATCCATTGAGGCAAAAGAGCCAGTCGTGTCGGCCCCTTCCCAGGAACAGCACGCCGATACTGCTGCTGATGGCAAACGCCCACCTCCATTACTCGCCAAAATCTTTGCGGTGTTTCTCATCTCATGTATTAGTTTTGGCTCTCATTGGAGCTCTGGGGTAACAGGAGCCATGAAGAGCACTATCAAAAAGGTAGGTCTCAGATTGTCACATCTCCAGAGGCAATCACTGACTGTCCAAGCAAATGCATGTCTCTAACACCCAATTTTCTCTCCTGGAGGCGAGTGAGGATTTCATGGCGACCGTGCTCTTGCTGATTAGTGGAGTCATCACGGATCGAGTTGGAGGTGCAGGTCTGTCAACATGCCTCTGTCGATCACACGCCTCCTTATTTGGGACTGACGTTTTGTAGAGATGATCATCTATGGCAATATCATTTATACATTAGGGTCGATCCTCGTTGCTGCGGCTACTACTGTGCGCTCCTTCAACTTCATGATTGGGGGTCGAGTCATCCTGGCCCTTGGAGATATTGCAACCCAGATCGCTCAGTACAAGATGTTCTCTTCATGGTTTCCCCCAAGCAATGGATTTGCATCTACTCTTGGGTTTGAGTTAGCGATTGGAAAGGTGCTGATCCTACTCAGCCCCTGTTGAGATATGTTACGCTGACGCAAGTTCCTAGATTGGCGGATTCGTTGGCAAATCCACTGCCAACGTCATTGCCAAGGTAGACTGTCTCTCTCTTGATCTGAAGCGGAATCACTAACCTGGATAGAAAACTGGAAACTTTGCTTGGGTCTTTTGGACCTCGGTCTTCATGAACCTTTTTACCAATGCAGCAACAGTCATATTCTGGTTCTTCAACCGCTACTGCAATAAGCATTACAGAGGAAGGCAGGATACGGCTACAAAGGAGATTCTAACAGAGAAGAACAAGAAATTCGAACTTCGGAAAATATTCCGGCTCCCTTGGATGTTCTGGGCTGTCATGGCATTCTCATTGTTCCAGACAAGCACCGCCTTAGTCTTTAGCCAGAATGCAACTGAGCTGGCGGAGAAGCGCTTTAATGTTGACTCGATCACAGCAGGGTGGTACAGCTCTCTGTCACAATATGCGGGTGTGTATAATACCAGTCTCTCTCATTCGATTCGTTCTGTGCATTGACTCTGGGAGGTTTCTTTTTGGTCCCGTGCTTGGGCGTCTTTATCGATGTCCTAGGAAATCGCGCCAGTGTTTGTAAGTTTCCACCAGCCTACCATGAAACCTGTCTGACGTCTCCCAGTATGCATCTGTGGAATCGGAATGTTCCTCAGTATGGTTCTGGTCAATTTCGCTGCGACCAAGGCTGGAACGGCCGCTTCTTTTGGAATATATGCCATTGCCGTGTCTTTCGGCCCAACTTCCATCATTGACAGCATTCGCACCGCTCTATGGCATCAATCGGTCTTTGGTTCTGCTTATGCCCTCAAAGTTACCATGAACAATGCGTATGATATTCCATTTCAAACGTAGATCCAAACAAAGAGACTAACCTTGCCGCTAGGATGAACATCATCATCCGAATCATTACCGGCGCACTGCAAGACGCCGACGACGATTCATATCGACGAGTAGTCCGAGTCTACCTTTTCCTCGCTGCAGCTTCGGTTGTTGTCGGCTTGTCGATCTTGGTCGGGACTCTGATATCTGACAGCCTGGCTCCGCTCCAATGGACTAGGAAACAACGGCTGACGTTAGGCCCAGAGCACATTAGCATGATTCGTGAGCGGCACACAGTGACTTGCTATGGCCGCAACAAATTAATCTCCATCTGCTGCTTCACTGCGCTCCTGTTACTGACAGTGGGTGGCTGGGTGGCCTACATCTGGGGAGCAGTGACGGGTAACAACTCATAGGGTAGATACTATCTAGCAAATGAGCCAAACATGAATGGTTAACTACCTGGGAGTCTGACCAAGAATAATTAAAGACACTATTTTGGTTTAATGATGTGATATACAAATATTGATGTATGCATTCCTTTCCCCTTTGAACTTAATAACGGAAGGGTATAAGGATATTCACATTCCACCATGTCCAGCCAGATTTGATGGAGTCCCTGCTCCGCGAACCATAGGAAGTTGTAAGGACTGAATCTTAGGATGAGCGGTATATCCGTATATCAGTGTCCTCCACAGCCTTATCTCTATGGCGGTAGCTAGACCATACCCATCCTCGATGGCTCCCTATTTCTTGCTGTGCAACGATCCAAAAAGACCCGTTCTAGAAGCTCATGGAACGGGTGGAGAGCTAATCTCCGAAGCCTCGAGCTCTACAGGCTGCTTTACAACAGTCTGGCGTTTCCCAGGAGCCTTGTCCTCTGGGGGCTTGACCTCATCAGGAAGCTCTGGCTCGCTTGGATGAACAGTGATATTGACAATGTTCGACTTTTGAGAGTGCTGGAACTCCCCCTAGAAGCAACAAGCAGAAAGAGATTAGTTCGGATACAAGGGTGCGATCCCCCTCACGGAGCACATACCGTGGATATAATTGGAATTTTCTTCACGTAGCCAATTCCCTTCGATAAATCAGACCAGGAGAGCAGAATTAGGTCTTCGTCCGCCTGGTGCACGAATGCCAATGCAAAGGAGTCAGTCTTGGTAGTGAACTCCTTGGACATAGCGACCCTTCGGACCTCAATGGGGATAGAGCCTAAGTTGGATACCCGGTATACATGGCCCTGGTCGTTGACCAGGACGAGTTCACTCTCTGATGGCGAAAATTTCCCTTAGTCTCTGAGCAAGGTTTACGGTCAGCAACTAGACTCAAACCTGGCTAATGGAATTTTGATAGATCCCGGTTTTTGCCTTGCTTATTGTCTGTTACAAGATCCGGAGACATGGATTCGATGTCGCGCAATGGGGACCGGAGAGATCCAACGATCTCCGCAACTGCGTTCAGGTCTCGAGTGACAGGACGAAAGGCAGGCTGGAGTTTCCTGACCATGGCTTGACCCTGGAAAACGGGAAGAGGTTGATATGGGTATGGACTAAGTAGACTTAGTTCATATTGGGCGCTCTTTCGCTGCACGGCGTGCATCTTTGCTTTGATAATTTGAACTTCCCAATCTGATATACCAGTCTGGTTTCAGTTTTCAATTCCCATAGGACACCTTAGTAGTAACCTGGATATTATCAAGGTCGTTGTGTTCTTAGACCGAGTCAAGCAAGGGGAGATCTAAAGGATGCATTCGTTGAAATGCGGGAAAATAACCGTTTCTCCTTCCTGGGTTATTGCCAGGGAATAGAACAGTGTACTCTTAAGCGCGTCCTCTCTCTGGACAGGCGATTTACCAGAAACTGTACCCTTCGCGTCTTTTGAAACTATCCAGTGACACAGCACCCTCTATATAAGTACAGTGACAAGCGAAAGTCCAGAGAATAAGGTTTCTATTGTTGAGAGCTCATAGTCCACATCAAATGGCCCCCCAGAATCGCCAATAGTCCAAGTACTGTCACGCCGTATCCTTTGAATCCTTCTGACATGGAATTTGAGATAATGGCCACAGCAGTGCCTTCAATGCCCTGGGTTGTGGTCGTTCGATCTCCTGTGCGGCTTCCAAAAGCGCTTTCTCCACCTTCTGCTACTGTGGGCGTAGCCGTTTGACTGGTGCTGTGAGTGCTACTAGGAGAAGCACTGATGGATGTGGTAGGTTTCGTAGCTAATGATGCTACTGATGGGTAACGATACCAATTCGAAGGAGGATCATTCAGACATTCTCCATAGAGCGCCGTCGTGTACCCTTGCGCTTGCAGATAATCAATCATCAAAGGGACGAAATCGTGAACGGTATGATTGTGAATGTCGTGCGCTATGGAGATGAAGCTGTTTGTCTTTGGGTTTCCGGACTGTAGCGCAGACTTGAAGATATTCTGGCTGTTGGAGTAGTTCTCCTGCCAGTCCAGTGTGTCAATATTATAATTGACTACGTGATATCCAAGGTCACGTAGGTCTGCCAGGCAATCTGTGTTACAAGACATGTATGGCGGTCGTAGATACGTCGGAAAGAACCCCAGGATATCACTGATGGCTATCTCGTTCTTGATGATTTGATCGTATCGTTGGCCTTGGGTGAGGGTCGACAAATCTTGATGGCTCCATGTATGGCTGCCGATTTGATGACCCTCATTGTACATTCGTCGGATGAGAGAGGGATATCCGGTCTTGGGATCGTTAATTTGGCCCTTGCCGCCGTTGTTGCCGACGAGGAAGAAGGTCGCTTTGACTCCTCGCGCTTTGAGTATGTCTAATAGATCCGAGGTGTAGATGTATGGCCCGTCGTCGAATGTGAGAGCAACCTTGCCGGGTACATTGCAAGCTCGGATGCTGACCCCGTATGGAACGTCGCCGATCTTTGGTCTTGGGACAGATGAGGTATTCAGTCCTGAGGGGGTCTGGTTGGCATCACAAGCCGGGCCATACTGAAAGAGACAGGATGGCGCATCGCAATAGTAGGCTCCTATACCACAAAGTCCCTGTATCATTGAATTACGGTCAGGACTATGATCCTTCTTGTCAAAGGAAGAAAAGGTATTCAGTGCGCCGAAGACATACATTTGGCCCACAGCAAAGACCCGATGCACAAACTGCATTGCCGGCAGAGGGGCCACAGGTCCCAGAGCTAGCTCTACTTTCGAGATCCAAGACACTATCTCGTGGGACCTGGTGGCTATTCACAACTGGGAAGACGGTTAAAAAAACCACCATAGCCAGCTGTAAAGTCATTGAGAGATGGACACGGCCCAAAAGCGCTGAGGTAGACTTCAGGTAACAGGCCTACCATAATATAGAGTGCCTGTTGAACATTGACGGGTGAGCACCAAGTATTTATTCGAAGAGCATAGATGCCTAGATCCATGGTTCCCTGTTAACTGTCACTGATGAGAAAGGTGGAACCATAGAAGTACTTCATAAGGTTCAGAACATTCTTCGCGTGGTTCCGTCGCTTGCTATGAGTGGCCGGTGCCAAAGCTGCGGCCCATCATTAGGTTAGAGCTTTCAGCCCGCAAGCATGGGCACAGCACAGTTTAATAGTTCGGTGGAATTATGGTGCCGTTCTAATCTCTGGAAAGTAGGAACGTGGGCAATGATGACCTTGCATGAGGCCCTGATTTGGTGCATGAGCTTACTGTGCCTGGCTATCTAAAATGCCTCTATTAGGGGCCACCAAAACAGCAGGAATCAAATCAACCAGTCATTTCTGTAAGTTATCCTTCTGTGCTTGGGCTATTAGTATATTATTGCCCTTGCCTGAATACAAATCTTGCTGCTGCCTGCAGCTTTAAATCTTTCAATTCTTGTCAATTCAAGATCTGCTAGTTTGCATCACACTAATGTTGTCAATCCACAGCTGTATGCTCCCAGAACTATGATCACTACAAGGAAAGTCACTCTCCCTTGACACCCGGTCCCACGTCCAGGAGGCATGGCTACAGGCTCTTTGCCTCATCAAGCCGGATGAGTACAGCCCGGAAACACCGTGCATCAAGATATGGGAAGATTTGTTTTGCTCTCTCACTCTCTCACACCCTCAGTTATATAGTCATTCCTGATATTTCTGTCTTCATCGTTCCATCCTGTACAGTGCAGATGATAGATCATAGTAAAAGTTAGTTTTGACTGATCTGTACATCAACTACAGCAGGCTTAAGTACTTTATGGGCTCTGCCTGCCACCATAGCTGGCACTTATAGCTACTAGTGATGATACATACCACTTCTCTGATTCAATGCAATATGGTATACTCATGCTAGACCATCATAACCACTTCTGCTTGCAAACACACAAAAAAAAGCAAATTCTGCAACTCATAGAATGCACATCTTCCTCACATAATCGCTAGAAAACATCACCAAAGTGGAAAGCCTCCTGCTCATTTCTTAGGGGTTTCTACAAAGCCGGGGAAACAATCCTGGAGCGTCTTGCTGTGCTTATTGGAGGCATGCTCGGTCAGGGCCGGAGCGCGAGTGGTTTTGAGGAAAGTCTGCCTGCAGACGTTGCATATGATATCCTTGGCAGCTTCGTTCTGTTTTTTTGTGAGCTTGGTGAGCTTGAAATGAGATTTAGTAGATACATACAACTTTCAGCTGCGACTTTGCAGCACCTTTTGCGTCTTTGGCATTGCGCTCACGTTTAGAGGCGGCTTTGGCTCCCTGTTAACATATCATCCTGGGTAAGCTTATGCTTTTGAGCCTCGAGCAGAGTAGTCGCTTCAGATGAAAGAAAAGATTAGACATATAGTGAGGGCTCTTACGTTACCCATGGTGGCTGATTGTGATAAATATTTGAAAGCTGTTGCAAGAAATGGGATTGTATGGGTCTTTTTTTTCTCTTTTTTGTTTTTCGAGATTGAAGGTCAGAGAAGTTTTTTTTTTTTTTGCCCCTCCCTTTTTTTTATCTTCCCGTTTTGCTGGATAAGTCTAGACCAGGAACTGAAATACGGGCGGTGATTGGCTGGGCGGCTTCATCCAGTTACTGCGGGGATTCTGAATCACTTCAAAATCTACCCTTTTCGGCAATCCCAAGTCGGCCACATCATCAGCCTTGTTGGTAGTATTACTTTCTACACATTCCCTTGTTCACTGTTGAACATATTCTTTAGCCCTCTGGATATAATAAAAGCTGTGGCCTAAGTGAGAACTACACAATACATAACTGGCGATGAACCCATGCATGCACCTTGCATGACTTTAGCAGGCTGGCTGGGGGATCTGCATTTCTTACTGAAAATCTATCACTACAAGGTAGTAGTTTATCTTAAACAGTCCTAGATAGCTCCAATAGTAGTCCTACTACCATCCTTACTCTACCTACTCTTAGGTCCGTCCCTGCAAGCACTGACAGTCCAATTATCCACCGGGCCATGGCCTTAATAATAGTGTTCCAGTAATCACTGGCATCTGAGGCTTGACTATGGAGATCTTGTCTTAATGAGACAACTTAGACGGTGTACGCAGTAGTTATTGAATATTTGCATGATTTCGTATCACATATCAATTGAACCGTGCGAAGAGAAGATCTGTGTTCAATATTTCCAAGACTCAGAATTCAAGCCACATCTGACTGACAACTTAGTTCTCGCAGATCCAATGTTGGCGTCAATCCAAGAACTGGTCCTCGACAAGACTCTGCCCTGTCTTCTCCAAGAGTAGTCGTAAGGAGTCCCTATCTTCCTCGTCGCACTTGGGTCCTTCCTTTTCCCACTCGTGAGGGACAAAGTCTGGTTCAAGATACGGACTGGGTCCGTAACCATCATAGCAGGCCATGTACCTATTTTTAAACAAGCCAATCGTGATTTCAGCCTCCTTTTCGAATGGCACACCTTGATACCAGTCGCTGCTGCCGATGACAAAATGCCTCAGAAGAGGTAGCTTTGTTCGGAAGCAGTCAAAATAATGATGCCACCGCTTATCGTAGGAGAGGTAGTATTTTCGCCGCGTCCGGCCATCATCCTTTCGGCGGGTTTCCATTTCACTCTTCTTGAAGGGGCACCTGTCGGCCATATGTTCTTCGGCAAGACACACATCGTATAAAATTGCGCAGTCGTCAAAGTACAGGTCAGTTAGAGTGGCTGCATGTGAGACAATCCATTCAAGCTGAGAGTCCCGCACAAAGCAATAATTACCAAAGGCGAGGGACTCGAGGTGCGGAAAGTGAACCTCGCTTAGCTCCAGCTTAGGATAGAATCCGAAGTAGTTGCCGCAGTAGAGCGTCAGATGCTCAAGAGATGATGCGGATGGTTTCAGCCACACTGATGGCAGCTGCGCGAAGAAGTCATGGGGCTCAGGGAATACGTCGAGGTCGTCCTCAGGGGCGGCTTCATTGTGCTCCGTCACAATGCTTAATCGGAGAGCGCGTATATTCTGCAGCACTTTCTTGATATTGGCAGATATTCGGTCGTCATTGACATTAATATCTTGCATATTGCGAATACCGAGTTCGCGCAGAGGCACTTCGAATGAGGCCAACCATTTAAAGAAGACTTGAAGAGTTTTTGTGCGAAAGGCGACGGTCTCTGGATGCTCCCTCATCCAAGATTCACGTCCCGTACTACAATGCTTGTCGAACCGCAAGACGGCGCTTTGCACATTTGGACAGTCTTTGAATTTCGCGATTCTGTCCTTGAAATCCTTTGTCAATTCGACTTCCTCCTCGTCATAGGAGTCCTGAGGCTTGTTAACATGCAGCGCTCATTGACCTGTGGGCAATAGGCACTGACATAATCATCTTCACATGTATTGACATACACCTTCCTAACCATTTTCTTGAAAGTTGCATTATTCGTAATGCTATCGACAGCCTCATAACTTTCTTCGTCCGGAAACAGATGTAGAGTGTTAAATAGCTGTGGAGTGGCAAACTGTGATAGAACGCGACTTGTTTCCCGCAGCGCCTTCAGGGATGACCGGTCAAGGAACGAGACAATGCGAGCGAGGAGCTCGCTAGGAAGAACGGTGATGGAAGCCATATTATATGAGCAAGTGACGAGAACAAAGTCAGGGGCGCACAGGGAATTTAAATCTTGGTGAGCTATGGATTCACAATCATGTCCAGGGTCTTGAGATAGTTGTTTAGACTTGATCAAGAATAGTTTTGTTGCGGCGTCACTTGGCAACCTCTAGGCTCCCGGGGGAAGGATTTCTGCCTAGAGAATATAGCCGCACTGAGGAGGCAAGGAACACATCGTTATTAAGGATAATTAACGTCCTTTAGCACTAAGACTGTGCTCATTCTGAGAAACCCCGTCATCTTACAATTGTTAAAGAAAAGCTTCAAAATCAACATGTCAATGCTTTCCTTCCTCTTTGTTGGCAGGTCATCCGGAGACTGTCTGCTGGAACCACGGAGCTGATTCTGATTATGCTCGCTGAAACTCGATCTTTCTTCGATCCTACTGCACCAATTCCATAAGAGCGGGAGCAAGCTTGACCACTCCAAGATATCTGGGAATGTGTTGAACACTCCTGGTAGACCTTTAACTCTGGACCTTGGACAATGGAGAGCTCGCGAAACCTGCCACTGTCTCCCTTGTTTCAATTCAGGAATGTGCTGGGTTCCAGTGGAAGTAGGGCCAGTCGTTGCAGACAGGCAGTTTTGGTTGCCCTGAGATTGCAGATGACCTGTGTGTGCTTTGAGATGAGGTTGCTGGTTCTAAGAGGGGGAGCTGAAGAAAGTCAACATTCCACAACTGAGTTCAGAGGATACGGTGAGAGAGAATGAAGAACATATAACCACTAGCAACAAATATTGGAGCTGATTTATCCTCTCGACCACCTGAGGATCACGACTGAGCTCCTCATATTTTGGTCCTGCTCCCATAGACACCCCCACATCGGCATTTTGATGCATCTCATCTGCGTATGTAGCATTCGGGACAACATGAGGCGCACCATAGCGCAAAGTGACTCCCAGTAGTATAGACAGGTTATGCCAGCATTCAGCCCGCTTGTATAAGAAAGCGGCATGAGGGGTATAGGCTCTCGATCTTGTGATGGATGCCGTGCCGAGAGAATGCTGCCGTGATGCCTAAGGCACTCACAGCTCCTGCACGACCAATCATCAAAAAAAGTCGCAGCCCCCTTGTCCATCTCACGCGTCTCGACCAGCTCGTCCTCAACCATCGAAGCCTTCTCTGATGTTATGGACACCAACGCGCTTATTGATCTCGTGCACGAGGTGCAGGGTCAGCTTCGGGTTGACAAGGTGAACGAGACCCACAGAACGGGCCGTCTCTGCCAGTGGGTGTCGTCTTTGCATCCCGACAAGCTTCCCTGCCAACTTGACGGTACCTTTCACCATGGCGCATTTAATGCCGGCATGAAAATGGTCTTCAGTGACAGCACTGCCTGGATGGTTCGTTTCCCTCGTATAGGGAAGGTCTGTGACGACTACACCGACGAGAAGGTTGCCATGGAGGTGACGGCCCTGAGTCTCATCCGCAACAGGACTAACATTCCCGTCCCGAGAGTCCAGGCGTGAGGTCCCGCTGCCAGCAACCCACTTGGTCTAGGCCCCTTCATCATAATGGACTTTATTGACGGCGTGAGCCTTAGCGACCTTCTCCTGGACCCCAACGCCGAGCGCCCCAGCAGAGTCATGAGGGAGGACGTCAGCGATCGTGATATTGAAGTTATCTACAGACAGTTGGCGAATTTCCTGCTTCAGCTTTTCAACCTCGATTCTGACCGGATTGGCAGCCTGCCGTCGCCACAGATTGAAGCCAAAAGCCCTACTCCGCCACGGCCACTAACATTTAAGGCACATAGCATCCTACAAAATGGAGGAGTTGACACTTTCGGTACGTCTTGTTGCCTCCTTTTCCCTCCTCATCCCTTATGTCCTGATCGAGTGCGTCAACTAAGCACATGATGTCTAGGTGACCGAGCCAAGGGGTTTGCGACGACCGCCGAGTATTTTCAATACGTCGCCGGGCAGGACTGGGAGCAGCTCGTTCACCAGCCGAACTCGACTGTTGGTCCATATGATGCTAAAAACAAATATTTGGTGTTCAAGGTCCTAAAAAGCCTGATACCGGACTTGGTCCACGCGAAGTATGACCGTTGCAAGTTTAAGCTGATTTGTGACGACCTCGGCTTGGCGAACCTGATTGTCCGTGGCAGGGAAGACTTCACTGTCGTTGGAGTAGTGGACCTCGAGTGGTCATACATCGGACCCGCCCAGCTGTTCGGCTCAGCACCATGGTGGCTTCTCCAAGACAGGCCCGTCAACAGCACGTGGGACTACAAGGGCGACAAGCCGCCCCAGATTGCCGCCCGGTACTTTAAATGCCTAGCGATTTTCATATGTATCTTGGAGGAGGAAGAGGCAAAAATGCCAGGGCACGAAGAGAGAGAGCTCTCCAATCTCATGAAGTGGTCGCAAGCCTCCGGGGTCATGTGGCTGCACATACTCCTCTCATCTGGCTTCAACGACCATCGCAGCTTTCCTTTTACACAGCTGCGCCAACATGTGGGGGCTACTGAGTGGGCAAGGCGTGAGAAGGAATTTGAGAACGCAAAAGAACTCGAGGCATTCGCATCGCGGAAGGTGAGCGAGTTGGATAAGTATGATGAAGCCTTGGAGAAGATGGAGGAGAACAAAGCGCTCAATCGGCACTAGTTCAATCCACCAACAAAGCGTTTGCTTCGTGCGGGGAGGAAACAGTAGTATCACTGAGTTTTTGCTACTATCTCTTTTTGAGCATTATCAGGGAATGGGCATGGAGTCAATTGATGGTGGGATGTCAGTACGGGGAACATGTATTGAACTGCAAAGGGACCTTATATGAGGCAGTGTTGGAAAGACTGGAGTATGTAGAGAGATGACGCCCAAAATATATCACATTAGACGTCCAATGGAGTCGGAGATCCTGGATAGCGTAATAAGCTATCGATTGGAAATGAATGGTCATAGTCTGCATCTTTATTGCCAAGGCACTGATTTGCTGCCACGAAAAGGAGGGGAACAATAAAGAAGCTCCAAATCCACAGCTTAGACTCATCTCCATCCATGTGTTTATCATTATCTATTCACTAATCAAGCACTATTGGTTTACTCAAAGAGTCCAACAGTACTCTTAAGCTACGACGATCATGTTCTCCACTTTTGTCGCCATTTCCCCGGATCGCTACGACAACAACAACAACAACAACAAAACACGTCACATCAACGGGTCCTCCTCCTCCTCCGCCCCAGTTCCTCCACCTTCTAAACGCAACCAGGTCGCACGAGCTTGTGACTGGTGCCGTGTGCATCGCATTAAGTGTGACGACATCTTGCCCTGTCAGAATTGTCGCAATCGAGGGGGTCATTGTACCAAAAAGAGTGCAGAAGTCCGCACGCTGCCACATGCTGTGAGGTTGTACCAACTCTCTGAATGCGTTAGCTACTCAGAACTAACAACCAAAATAGAGAGATTGAGCGATTACGAAAACGCGTCCAGGAACTTGAAAAACAACTCGAAAATGCTACCGATACTGTCTCCAACGGTGAAGACCGGACGATTCGCAAACAAAGCCGACAGTCGGGGTCAAAGAAAGGATGGGATGGAATTCATACACGCACCGCACACTCCTCACAAACCCAATGGTATGGGCCCTCGTCGGCCTTCTACTTTATCGGTCGCATGAGCGCATACCTCAGCGCCGTTCTCGAACAGCCTCAGGACGATCATAACATGCAGCCCAATTCCGCCAGTCGCACCTTTACTAGTCCTACCTTGACTGAACATGTTCCGGAAGAGCTACCGGCGCCTTCTACGTCTGCAGATGGTCCTGCGGGGTCAGAGATATCTCTCAATAGCATCGAGGAAGATTTTTTCCTGAATCTTTTCTGGCATTCATACCATCCGACATACCAGATTCTTGATGAGGCCGAGTTTCGGGAACATTACAAATCTCTCTGGGTGGATTCGGCCACGACGCGAAAATCTTCTGCACTGGTCGATATAATCCTCGCTCTGTGTATGCAATATGGCGTCGCATTGACTCCGGACAGCAGCGTTGATCCCACCATCACCTCCGGCCGACCCGACGGTCATGTCGACATCAACGACGCAAGTATTGCGGGTCGATGGTACTACCGTCGGTCGCAAACCCTCCTCATTTCGGAATTAGAAAGTCCGTCCATCACGACTCTCCAATGCCATATCTTTTCGGTCGTCTACCTGTGCAACGCCTCCTTTCAGAACATGGCGCACACTACCCTAGCCCTCGCGGTGCGCACCGCACATATTCTCGGTCTACATCTCGAACCGCGTGAGAACCTACCACGTCCCCAGCGAGAGTTGCGCAAACGCATCTGGTGGACGCTGTATACGATCGAAAGCAAGACATGCATGAAACTAGGCCGACCGTGCTCCTTGCCTGACATGACTGCGACTTGCCAACTGCCTGCCGACGATCATGAGCTGGCTCGACTGTCGGTGTCAAACATCGCTGCCTATGGCGACAAGGTGACGTGGTTGACCTACAGCCGCCTCCTCACGTCGTTGGTGCTAGCCGCGCAGGCGGTTTATCTTAGATTTTACGATGAATGTGCTGAGATTCTGGCTGCTAATGATGCGAAGAGTCTGTACACAGATTCAACTTGTCTGGAAGCCCTGGCTGAATTCCTCACGTCACAGATGGACGGTATCCGGGAATGGTTACGCAATGTTCCCGATGCCATGAAGACCAAACGCAAAGATGGTGGAGAGCCGTTCTCAACCGACAGATCTGGACTAGAGCTGGAACGGTATGCGCCCTCGTGGCTGCAGCGCCAACGGCTTCTCCTGGAGCTTCTCTACCACAACCTCTCTATGAACATCTACCGGCCCTTCATCTGCTTCCCATCCATGTCAACCACCAGCTTCCACAGCACACCTGTTGCGGAAGGACATGCAGACTCTTGCGTCAAACATGCCATTGCCATCACACACATCCTTCGCCAAATTCTGACCGCCACCGACTTCCTCAAAGGCTGGTACGAGGCCTTTCAATGGCAATGGAACTCGACTCTCTCCATGGTTGGTTTCATCCTTGCCTACCCCTCACATCCATCCACTCCAGCAGCCCGCGCGGCCATCGACAGCGCTATCACCGTCTTTGAGGTATTTGGCAACAACTTTGCTGTCGCGGGGAGCGCCGCGAATGTGACTCGGGGACTCGTCGCCAAGGCGGACTTTCTCAGCGGCCGATTGGGCGCGGGTGTCGGAAATGCAATCACGCTGACTCCCCCATTCCCGGACCAGATGGAAGGATTCTTAGGGCTGGTCGGGAACGATGCGGGGAGTTTGATGCTGGCAGATGAGCCCTCGGCCATGTTTCAGAGCACGCTGGCGGGAGCCATGGGATTGGCGTCCAGTGTCGATTCGTTCTACAGTTTTGAGCCCTTGTATGCAGGGTCGAGAAATCTGGCCGATGCGTGGAATTTTAGCCACAATTGATCTTTTATGTTGATGTCAAATTGACGATGAACAGACACTCATGTCGATCCAGCTATAGAAACCGGTTTTCTTCATGCATTTATCCAATGGGTCAAATAAATAAGTACTCCCAGTCTATCTTTTCGATGCCTATCATTCCCCTAGCCCAGCTTCCGTCCTCTGAATTAGTTCATTGTGATGACAGCCCGGAACCTGACTGTTCCCTTCAACATTGCCTCTGTGGGTGATTCGAATTAACGCTGGTATTGGGATGCCTTCGGACAGTCAAACTCACCAAATGCCTCGTTCGCCTTTTCTAAAGGAAACTCCTCTACCATGCAGTTGATATTGTGCAGCTCAGTAAAAGCAATCGCGTCTTCCGAGTCAGTGGCATGACCAGATGGCCAAACCTGAACCGAGAGCGCATATTTAAGCTGGACACAATTGAGTAATTGCCCTTGCAACCATCGAGGATCACTTACCATGGTGACTGTATCAATCGGGACCTCTCCCGGCACTATGACATCTCCATCAGCACACTCCATCAACCCAAGGCAAATTCAATAAACTGACCAGACAAAATCAATAACTTCCCCAGAATCCCCAGCCCCTTCAACAACGGACTCATCACCTCCGCCGTCGGCGCTGTCGAAACAACCAACGACACCCCGCCCAGCTTCTGTAGCGCTACCCCTGCATCTTCCTTGCTCGAATCAATATATCCGTGCGCACCCAACTCCCTCACAAACTTGTCCTTTTTTGCGTCTCGTGAGATAGCAACAACCCGATACCCCATCTTATTCGCATACTGGATGGCGAGGTGGCCTAAACCGCCGAGAGCTTGGATGGCGACGGTCTCGCCGACAGGGATATTCATGTGCCGGAGGGAATTGAAGACGGAGACGCCGGCGCAGAGGATGGGGGCATATTTTGCTGCTGGGACGTGGGACGGGACGCGGACGGCGGCTTCAGGGTTGAGGAGGCAGTATTCTGCATCTGCAATCACCAAATCAATCTTATTCCCAGGGGAGAGGGGAAGGGAAGAGGAAGGGGATGGACGTACAGCCGCCATTCTTGGTCTCGCCGTTAACGACCTGCGAATCACACATTTGGTACCAGCCTTTGCGGCAGGCTTTGCATGTTCCTTCTCACGGTGAGTCTCAAGTAGGAGAGGATGATGAGGAGGAGATACCATCATGTCCCCCATGCCATGCGCCTCCAATGCGATCCCCGACTGTCCAGCCAGAGACGTGCTCTCCAACGGCAGCTACACGGCCGATGATCTCATGACCTGGCACGATGGGACTGCGACACATCCATCATTAGCATTGTCCACCAGAAAAGGAAGAGAGGAACATACAATCCCCCACCCATAACATTACTCTGCGCAAACACATCCGAGAAGCATACGCCGCATGCTTCCACCTTCACAAGAATCTCATTCGGACTGGGCGGCGTGAGAGGGGCTTCTTCGATGACCAGTGGGGCGCCGGCGAATTTGAAGACGGCTTGTTTATAGACTTGGGGAATGGTCATCTTGTCGTTGTTTACAGAATATCTCTATGTAGGTGAGAGTGGATGGAATGTCTAATAGAAAGTAGATCACAGACGAGCTGCGTTTATAACCACGCTTCCACCACCAGTCAAGCGGGGTAAGTACTTCTGCTCCGGAGTTATCATGCCATAACCTGTCACAGTTGAGATATGCGTTGAGATGGCTATCTCTAAGCTGTCATCTCCCCTGGTTTAGGCTGATTCTTTGTGATGGGCTGGAGTCTGGAAGGAGTTGCCGGAGTTAGTGACAGAAGAGGAAAGTTAGGGCTGGGGTTTTTTAGCATGAAGGATGGTTAATAGTGGAGGTAAAACACGCTGAAGAGAACAAGGTGTTAGGTTAGCTCAGTAATGTAGTCCCACACCTATCTGACCCAGCCGTGTCACGTTGTCAAACATTTCTGATACTGCGGCCTGGATGTCAGCTACTATGGTTGTGTCTAGTCTCTAGAGGATATTGGCTGAGAAGATGGCCACACAGAGGAGAAACCATCAGAGGCCAGTTACTGTGGGCTTGGGGGCGGAGTCTTCTGTTAAGGTTGGTTCATTTTCATTCTGAACAGAGGTGGATGACAGGGAGGTGTTATTCTCTATATCTGTGCCTTTGGAAACTATGATCTTTTTAAGCTGGCCATTCAGGCTTCCTGAACTAGGTGTGACTGATAGTTCAGTCATAATATAGCCTTAATTCAGTTGGTCCAAGCAGTTGAAGTCAACTCAATAAATGCCGGATGCGCTGCCTTGAGTATATATATTACAGAAGATGGGAACCTTAGATACCTAATAGCATCTTCTAAAGCACATAACAGAATGCATTCATTCATAATCAGCATCCTTACTCATACTAAGCATTCAGTGTATGATGTGCAGTGGATATGGATTATAGTGTTTATTAGCCATCTTGACTACCTATTATCCTGTGGGCCGGAGTTGCCGGAGTTCATCCCAAACAAGTAATTAGAGGCTCCCATAATGCAGCAGTACCATTAAAAAGGGACAGGAATAACTCCATAGTCTCCATAAGAATGTCATCTCTATGTTCTGACCAATTATTAGCTTGCAAAATAACCAATTTCCAACTCTGCTTCAAAATCAAATATATCTTTAGATTAAAGATTCATAATGAAGACTAGTTCATACAGAGCTGCTGCACTCCCGATGCCCGAGTTCCATAGGCCACTAATATTGGAGAATCATCACACCGATGCTTCTTGTAAACCATTGTCTGCTAAGAGATATGTCAGATGCACAGCTGACATCATCGCCGGGCTTAGATGGGTACTAATATTGACATAGGTATGCAATTATGTTGAGGAACATTTACCTACGTACGTGGTCACTTTCCACTACTTCCTAACACTGATGGCCTACTCATAATAGCCATGAAGACTATCCTACACTTGTCTATATTTCCCCCAATAGACACCTCAACCAAAACATGACCATCCCACAGCTGTGAACGGTGTTGACCCATCTCCACGCTTGGGACCTGACAAGCTTTAGCCCAAACCTCAGAGTAAATGCTACTACCTAATGTAGCAAGATCTGCCATGGAAAAAAAAAAAAAAAAAAAAAAGGTATCAGAAGAGCTATCGGAGCCATCTTCCACTGACAGCAAGGAAATCGAGAGCGGCCCTTTCGACGCCCCCTTCCAGGCAAATGTTCACTGATGAAGGCGTTGATGAGGTGAACCAAGACTCAGATTTATAGTGCGCAGATAAACAGGTACAGAAACATGCATGCAGTCTTGACAGTTCATCCTCAGATCGCCTGGTTCGCTTTTACAAAGGATGGGCCCATTATCAGTTATGTAGTGATTTCCAAGCAAATCCCCCCTGGAGCTTATATAAACTGTATCCCGCCTGTGCTGCCATCAACCTAGTTATTTTTAAAGTCTGATCCAGCCAGAGTAATTATCTTTAGCTATTCCTACAGGTCACAGATCTCAAGCATTCAAGGTGTTGGTAGCCCTGGGCAGGTAGACTTCCAATGAACCATGATCCACTTGTGTTGTATGCTCTGATCTTGCACATGTAATGAAGAAATGAGTATGGTTCTTCAAGTCTCTGGTGCCTTTCCTGGCTATATATGACCGCCATAGAGTTGGATTGGATTAGAGGTACTGTGTGGCTGATGACCGCGTGGCAGCAAGAAAGAAGTTAAGAACTTTCTAACTTTCCTAGCAGATCTCAAGAATGCCCTAAAGTCCATTAGAGGCCATAGTGAGCTGTTAATTACCCTGCCTGCCTCTTATTAGTGTCTTCGACACTTTGGTATTGCGAATAAGAACACCACATGAACTACTTCAATATCATGACCTGTAACCTTCATAGCACCTGGGACTGGGGAATAAGTACACTAGCAAGTCCCTGAATGCGTAAAATAATCTTACTGAGATTAAAAGAGCTGGACCTCCTGTAGAGAAATAATATTGATCATCCAGAGTGGTGAGGCTAATGTATGATAACAAGGAGACTCTTAACCTCAAAATATACTATGCTCAGCGACCATATCTTATAGGTGTCATGGTATGTGCCATGAGTAATGTCCTGGAGGACGGCATCTATTCCAAGAGGCTAGGTCAGGTCAGCCAACACAATGTCAGAAAACTCAGAATATACCCTGGGATGTTGCTTTTGCTCAGCAAAGACATCAAACCCGTCGATGACATGTCGACAAGAAAGATAACCACCTATAATGATCCTAACCTTAGTTCTGCCTGCAACCACACTGGTTGCACAGTGTGAATTTGTACTATGTTTATTTAGATAGACTGAATATTAGATTACCTGGTAATCTAAAAAAGAGAAGAGAATTAGAGAAAATAGTGATCACTAGGCGATAGTGAGCATAATGGGTAGAACGGGTGCATCGATCTGAACCCATAGCGGGTTTTGACCCCCAGACCCAGACCAGACCCGCTATGGGTTTGACTTTGGGCCGCGCCGGAACAGGTCTGCGGGCCGTGTGCCCATCCAGTATCTATAAGAGCCTATCTCAGTAGTAGCACCGAATAGATCTAGGAGATTGTGCCATGGAATTCAAGCTGTAAAGCAATCTGATTCAAATAAACCCAAACCTTCCAACGCACTACGGAGTAACATCCACAAGGTCCTTGTTCAATATCGGGAAAAAGTCAATTGGTCTCCAAGGCTGATGGGTGGCGCGATAAATTGCGGAAATATTCGTAAATCTTCACATACTAAGCCCAATACAGCTCATCGTGGCACAGGTTTCACATGGGCCTGACAGGATTGCTATTACAGGGATGAAGTTGGTAATAGTAACCGAATCAATCTGTTAGACAGGTGTTTCCTCATGTCTTTTGCAAGAAAGTGGTGATACTGTCAGAATTGTAATGTTGTAAATAGGCGCCATAATATGACCACTTGGTTAGGATTGCGCAGATTTGAGCACATTACTAGATAAATTAGTCCCATCACAAGGATTAATTTGATAGTGGCTGCACTTCTCCACTTAGTCTACGCGAAACATCTACCCAATCAAGCGCTTTGGCTATGTCGACAGCTATCATGGACAGTGTTTGATGCAGTAGAACACTGTTGCTTTTCCGAACCTTGCTACATCTGACTTCGTCGCCCGAAGAACAGGGCTGTTCAGTGTTTGTTCCTTCTTTCTTCCCTTCATTGATCATTTGGTTGCTTGTGCAATGACTTTGACTGTCCTGGATCTCCATCACAACCACAACACTGCCGAAATAATGGACGCAACCAACGCAGGCAGGTCCACAGAAAAGGCCGTCAGTACCCGTACGACGGACAACATTGAGGCGACCTCGGAGACACTGAGTCTGGAGGAAAAGAACGAGAAGGAAGTCATCGAGCATCCGGATGAAATCACCCAAGATGCCCAGATTGGAGTGCAAAAAGCCGAAGCTACGGCCCTGGTGTGGTCCAAGACCGCTTTGTATGCCACATATGCCTGGTAAGTCGCAGCAATCCGACTCTCTGGCCAGGCACAGACCTTGGAGATTCTGTCGTACCTTGAACATATGAGGAAAACCGGAGTAATATGCTGACCGAAATGCTCTAGGATCTGGGTATGCTTCTTTATCCTCGCCCTGCAATTATCCATTAGCAGCAATATGATCTATTACGCCTACGCAAGCTTCTCGACGGCCCCCCAGATCTCCCAGGCCTACATCCTCTCCACCATCATTGGTGGGGTGATCCAGCTGCCCATCGCAAAGATTCTCAACCTCTGGGGCCGTGCCGAGGGCTTCCTTATTTTCCTCGTCGTCCTCATCGTCGGTATTATCGTGATTGCGTCCTGCAATGGCCCCAATGGCTTTGCAGCCGGATACACGCTGTATTGGATCGGTTACAGTAATCTCAGCTTCATCTTGAGTGTCTTTGTCGCCGACGCGTCCGGGCTGCGAAACCGAGCGTTTGTCTACGCCTTCATTGGCACCCCTACCATCTGTACCGCTTTTGTCGGCCCGCTAGCTGCTGAGGCGTTCTATGCCCATTCCACGTGGCGGTGGGCTTACGGCTGCTTCGCTATCATCATCCTCTTCACTTTTGTGCCACTTGCACTTGTTTTCAAGTTCTACCAGCACAAGGCAGAGAAGATGGGAGTCTTCGTCAGGTCTCCACGCGGCCGTACGCCCCTACAGTCGTTCATGCATTACTTTCATGAGTTCGATATCGTCGGCGCCTTTCTCCTTATGGCCGCCTTTGTCCTTTTCCTGCTGCCCTTTAGTCTCGAGACCTACGGCTACAGCGGGTATTCCTCGGCAACCTTCATCAGCATGGTTATCATCGGTGTTCTGCTCTTCCCAGTCTTTGCTATATGGGAGAAATTCTTTGCCAAGACCGCTTTTATCAAGTGGCAACTATTCAAGAACCGGACTGTCCTCGGGGCCTGCGTCCTATCCGCCGTCATATTCTTCAACTATAACACATGGAATCAGTATTACTACTACTATATACAGGTTGTGTATAACCTGGATACATCAAAGACTGGATACATGACGGAAATATATGGCGTGGGGTCGACCGTTTGGGCGGTCCTATTTGGTATCTGGATTCGTCAGACTAAACACTTCAAGAAAATATGTCTGTTTTTTGGTGCACCGCTGATGCTGCTTGGCGCTGGTCTCATGATCCACTTCCGTGGCAGCGCGAGCAAGATCGGCTACCTGATTATGTGCCAGATCTTTATTGCCTTCGGCGGCGGTACCCTTGTCATTGGTGATGAGATGGCTGTCATGGCCGCCGCCGACCGCGATGGCATCCCCATGATGATCGCCATGATCAGTCTGTCCGGTAGTTTTGGCGGGGCCATTGGCTACGCCGTTGCCGGCGCCATTTACTCCAACACCTTTCCTCAGGCTCTGCTCAGCGCCCTTCCCGACAACGCAAAAGCGGACTATGCCACCATTTACCTCGGCGGCTCTACCGCTCAGTTGATGTACCCCCCTGGCAGTGATACCAGAAATGCTATCAATCACGCGTGGGCAGATAGTCAGAAGTACGAGTGTATCACGGCCGCCGTCGTTGTTGTCCTCGCTTTCCCGGCCATTGCTGTGTGGAAGAACTACAATGTCGATAGGAAACAAGTCAAGGGCACGGTCATCTAGAGTTGCTGTCAAAGGTGTGAGTGTTTCTTCAAGTTATTTTCAAATATGCACCCCTGAGAGTTGCCCATCTGTCACTGGTTCGAGGCCGGACATACCGGAGGGCTTGTGGCTACATTAGAAGTAGATACTTACCTGATTGAAAGTTATGCACGAAGGATCCTTGATCATTCAAGTTTAACACTGATCATCCCGAATCTCTTGACTCAGGCTATAAAGTTTCTTCTGTATATTTAGGCATCAACTGCTGTAGATTAGTTTGTTAAGGTCCCTTACACCCCAACACCCTCTACAGTTCTCTGCGAGGCTAATGGTAGTCTCGTCCTCCAGCGATTGAATGCTAGCATAAGAAAATCTCGTCCAGCACGCCCTTTGCCTTTGGACCATTATTGAGCGCTGTGATACTGATCTGATGCTGAACCATGCAAATCACAAGATCATTTACTGATTCAGCTCCAATCTAGCCAAGCTTTGGCTTTGAAAGAGATATACTTCTCCTCTGTGTGAATCGTGCACATATGGGATCCTCACCATACATAGGACCAACTAATATACCCCCGTCAGCTCGCAAGGTGAATACCACTGATGGCTCTACTAAAGACAAGCCCCATCGCACTCGACCGTTCAGCCCGGACAGGTTGGGCCCTCTTATGGTAACTAATAACACAACATGTACGACAGGAATATACCACACTAGCTCAAAAAACGATAGGATAGGATGCTTAAGGCTACCAAACATGCCCCTTGTTCTGCTTGATGGAAATGACATCGATGTCTCGCCAAAGGACGACCCCGATATACCCCGCAACCCAAACCGCGGTTCCTACTGCCAACATCCTCACCTGAGCGTCACCGTAGGCATGTTGAATTGCAAGACGAGTCTCGGACCCGATTGGGTATGAAAGTTGGGTCGACAGGTTCGCGTAGATTTCGTTCAGATTTGGGAGCTCTTCCTCAGGAAGGTATTCCATCAAACTCGTGGGAAAGACGGCTTGCCAAATTGCAGAGGCAAACGTCAGGCCGAGCGCACCGCCCATATTGCCAAACACGCCCAACACAGCTAGACAGACGGCGACATCATGGTGCGAAGCAGCGGCCAGAATTGCCACCTCGTCGCAGACCATGATGGTGCCGGCGGCGATGGAGATGAAAATCTGACACATGACAATGAAGCCAACTGTGTGCTCCGTCTTGCAAAAGTACGTCATCAGGCTAGAACCCAGGATGCTCAGGGGGATCCCAAAATAGAGGCAGATGGGTCTGAAGCGTCCCGCATAGTGGATCAGGGCACCGACGGCGATGGAGCCCACGACCGAGCAGACAGTATAGGACTGCATGACGTAGCTGGCTTCCTCGACGCTGAGATCATTCACGACCTGCAGGTACGAGCTGAAGAAGCTATTCCAGCACCAGAAACTGGCAAAGAGCGTCGCAGATAGAATGCAAGCACCCAAGACGGTAGGATCAAGAAGGAGAGAATAAGGCACGAAGGTAATGACCGCATAATATCTCTCCCACACCACAAAGGTGATAATGAGGATACTGCCAGTTATCAGTATTGCAAAAACCCACGGTGAGCTCCAGCCTTGTAGTGCGTATAAGTTGAACGGCAGGAGGAAGAGGGCAACTCCGGTGGACAGCAGAACGAGGCCCACAGCGTCGAATTGACGGCTGTAGTAGACCAAGGACTGCAAGGCAGTGCAATCAGTATCCCTGTCGGTCTTTTGAATGAGACCCATCTTCTGTGCCTTGCGGTGATTATGCAACAAGAGGCCGAAAAGCGGGAGGGTAATGCACGGCACGAGGATTGTAAATACACCAAACGCCCAACGCCAGCCAGGGCCGTTGAGAAACTTTGCGGATATCAGGCCTGCCAACCAGCACGTAATCAAATTCGGCGAACTGACAATCGCTTGCATCAGACCCCGACTGTGCAGGGAAGAAGTGTCGGCGACGAAGACGGTCAGACTGTATTGGATGCCATTGTTCCCGACCGTCTGAAAGACCTGGGCAACTGCATAGGCCTGGACACTGCTGCACGCCGTCATCATAATGAGCCCAACTGTGGCGAGCAGGATGCAGAAAAGGTAGCCCTGTGGGCGGCCAAAGACATCAAGGACTTTGGCGAGAGTGAGGTTGGTGACGCCGCCGACGACACTACTCAGGATGCCGATGGTGGGCGTGAGCGAGTGCAGGGCAAAGGCAGATGTGACGTAGGGAGCCAGGATAACTGTAGCAGCCGACAGGACGCCCTCGACGAAGTATATGAGCCAAATCATGATGTAAGCGAAGACCAGGGCGCCGGTCGTCCATGCCCCAGTCACGGCCTCGATCTTCTGGACGCCGGGTTGAGTGTCGGTAGCCGGGTTAGACTCGACATCGTTATCAATGTCCACATTAGCATCCTCACAGTCGTTGCTGTTGTTATCGTCGAGGAGGTTCAAGTTTTCGTCGTCGCCCAGGGGAGTGTAGGAGGTTGGTTGGATGCTGACGTGATCGGTGGCTAGCAGCCTCATGGCCTGCTCACTCTGGGTGCGCCACCAGAGACTGACTTGTTGCTTGAACAGACAGACAGAAGGGGACCTTGGCAAACAAGTTAAGAGGTCGACTAGGGGATTGTATGATGCGAGAGTATGAGCAGATGATGAGTGGATTAGAGAGTGGATGAACAAGCGCATACTCTACGGTGAAGCTGGCTAGAATGCGTTCAATTGCCTGAATATCTAAAAAAAAGCACTGTATGCGTCTTGCAAGATCTCATATCCTGTAAGTTATTAATTGGATGAAATACTACAGTAGCTTAACTTTGTCAACTAGGAGACGAAACTGAACATCCTGATGGAACTTGCTCACTCTGTAATCCTTCTCATGCATGCCTATATTAGCTTACAAATAACCTGCTCACTGGATATGAATGAGGGATGAGGTCTTGTCCATAGTCTCTGAAAATAGTGATATAGAAAAGGTAGAGTACTGGAGAGCAGTGAAGAGTAGCCACTAAGATAAGTACTTGGTATTTTTCCCAGGCTTTTACAAATATCATAATTAGAAATATCTAGCACACATGAAGATAAGTTAATGTATTATTCCAGTGGATGAACACACCTCTCAAGTTGGTAGTATATTCCAAGGGTGTCTATATCCCATCAGCTTACTAGGTATTACGCTGGGACGGCTCCTGTAGGATTGACCGAACATAAATAACCAATGATAATAACCTCAATCTAGCTCACTTAGCAGGCTGTCTCAGAGCCACCGTCGCTAGTGCAGTAAATAACATTGGTGTGGGGACCGCATGCATGCAGTATGATGACTTTTACGAGGAAGCCAGTAAACACTGTGACTAGTGTGCAATTTGCTATCTCATGATCATGAGTCTTGAAGATTGGACTACTAAATTTCGATCATCGTGGGCTGCATTGTCCTCTGGAGCCAACTCTGCTTTGATACAAATGCAGCATGAATAAGTGGCACATGAGGGTTATCCATTCCATCAAACAGATGGAAGGCTCCTGGCCAGACGTGCAATTCACATGTGGAACCACAACGCCACATTTTCATGGCGTATAGGACGGCAGGGTCACGAAATACCTCACACTCGGCAGCATCAATATAGGTGGGTGGAAGATTTGACAAATCGTCTGCCCGGGACGGCGCCTGATACGGGGTAACCTTGTCGGTTCCCCGGTCGTCTCCAAGCACATGAGCCCACGCCATGCGGTTCGAAATACCGCACCATGGGCTGCCGTATTCGAACTGCTGGTCCGAGAGACTGTCGCATCGATCATCCAGCATGGGGGACAGCAGCATCTGGCCCTTGATGGGCGTCGCGGGAGATTTCCTGTCTCGGGCCATGAGGCATATGGCTGCGGCCAACGCTGCGCCACCAGACACGCCCAAGACAACGATGCTAGCTGAATCAATACCCAAACTAGCGGCGTTGTCAGATGCCCACACAAGTCCGGCGTAGCAATCCCGAGCTGGCCCGGGGGCGCGAGTCTCTGGCGCAAGGCGATACTCGACGGACACGACAACGCACTCGATGCCCTTGAGGAGATCCAACAGTTCGGTGACGGCAGTGAAGCGGTCACCAGAAATCATGCCGCCGCCATGGATGTGGTACAAAGCGGGCAATGCAGCCGAGGTTGGTTCCTTCGGGGCAAAGACTGATAGGATGACGCTGTTGCCATCAGGCCCGAGAATAGAATGCTGCGTATGCTTGAGGTGTGGTGCGCCCTTCATGATAGTGTCGGCATTGTAGACGAATCGTGTGTCGTCTCCGCCAGATGATGCGCCGCGCATGAAGTCGAGATCCACCACTTCAGGGAGCAGACATGAATCGATGATGGGCACGAGGGTGGGGTCGATGGCTGGTCGCGGGATCTTGATCCTAGAATCAAGCTGTGCTGCTTTGGAATAGGGAAAAGAATAGGTCGATAGTTCTTCAGCCATTTTTGAAGTAGTATTAACGTTGGGAGAGGCGAGCAAGTCTGCACAGGGCTATTAGAGGCACCTTTTAAGTGAGAAAAGTATCTCTATACTGCCCCTCTGCTATTGTGGATCTGCGAGTTAGTGTGAGTGTATACAGTGCGTGCAGAGTAAAATGGGAGGACATACAAGGGGCGAAGCCACGATCCACCAACTTGCTGTACTTGTCATTAGACTGCCCCATTTGTCCAGCCTGCACTATTTTAATAATTAATAGGTGCACCCATAGTGTATCACGCTAGCTCCGCGTATTCATGCAATACAGCCAATACCGGGTGAGTCATGCCACTTTCCTACCACTAAAATCCCATGTGGAACTGCAATATCCGAGGGTCGGAGAGTGGTGAAGTACCTTGGGGTGACGTGGGCTCCGTGTATGGCCTTGGATTATCAATGGCGGCTCAAAACTACAGAAACCATACACAACATCGTGCTTAGAGGTTCACGAGGGGTAGTCTTCTCTGTCTTGGTCTAAGCTGAGGAGGGTGAGCCACTGCCTTGATTCCTATTGTCTATGGGTTTCCACAATGTCTGCAGCTCATTCTTGTAAAGTCCGAGCTTTTCGTAGTATGCGTAATCTCCGTCACCTCTCATTGATACTTCTCAAAGTATTTCCTGACCCCTTGTTTGACAATGTCGACAAAGCCGTCCTCCAGGACACCCTCCTGCCAGCTGAAACCAAGCGCCATAATTCCGTCCCCACCAGTGGCAACGGTGACAGTGACTGCAGCGCCAGTGACTGCAGAACTTCGACTGAGCAGCACTTTCCCTACTTGCCAGAGAGAAGCATTCTCCTCGGTCTTGGCAGCAACGGCGGGCGAGAAGACTCCAACATTCGTTACCTCGAAAGCTGCATCGCGAGGCTTTCCAAGCATGGAATTTAAGATGAGGGAGACGTCTGGAATGGTCTTGAAGATGGCAACCGACGTGTAAGGCTCTCCAGAGGGCGAGACGTTGCTGAGGTAGTCATTTATCGATTTCGAAACTTGTTGAGCTCCGGACCACACGTCTGCCAGGCTCAGATCCCGTGAGATCTGATCGGGGCATGTGAGCCGCGCTCTGGTGGCATCAAAATAAGATCCAATCGCAACATTAGCGACTTCGTGAGGTAGCTTGAGCCATGGCCGTAAGTTGACCGGGATAATGCAGGTGAGTGCCTCCACCGTTGATGGAAGGTTCCCGAACAAGACCGTGGCGACAACGGACGACAGAGTGGAGGTGACTGATAAATTCCTCTCTTTGCATTCTTGAACGAAGGCTTTGGAGGCGCTCGGGGAGAGGTAGAAAGACGCCCAGTGGGACTTGCAAGGGCCGTGGATGGAGTTACCGGTCCATTCTTTGAGGTTGGTTGTAGCCGGGGGAGGCGGAGTCGGGTTGAGTGGCAGGAGATGCAACTCTTCAAGAGGTGGGAGAACTGGGGCATTTGCGTCCGACACAATGATGTTCTCAGTCTTGCCGTCAGGCAAACAAGAGGAGGAAGCAGCATCCAGCGCGTTACGGAACGCATTGTGTAAAGCTAGACCAGAGACTCCATCACCAATGGCATGGTGGTAGATGAAGGAGGCTGTGAACTCATTCCCCAGTCCAGGGCTTTGTAGAATGATCAGGCGCCAGAACGGCAAAGTGCCGTATTCAGATTTGAAGTCGGTGTTGTGCTGGTCCTCGAGAATTGCATCAAGTTCTTTGTCTTCTCCCTCAGCAGCACCAGCTAAAGGTTGACGTCGTTCCAGAAAGGTAATGCTTCGATTGAGATCGATCGAAGGAAGAGAGGCGAAGTGAGGGTTAGGAGTCCCTTCATTGACGGGAATGGCGAATAGGATGGGATGCTGACGGACCAAATCTCCTGCCGCAGCGTGGATGAGACCACGCAGGTCAGATACAGCGGGAGACGAGGACCTGGACAGTCTGTAGTGGGCTGAGAGGCCGACATTGTTGAAAAACCCAAGATGGTGACAAGATGCCGACACTTGCTCGAGTTTGCCTTTGTTGATGCATTAGATAGGGGGCAACGTGCGAACATCCTAGGTGGGTGGTAAATACCTAGTGGCCGCAACTTGTCGAGCTCATGTATGTCTGCCATGCTGCTGAGGGGAGTGCAGAATTTGGTCGATAGCTGAAGCTGAGCAATACCAACTGAGCTGAGCCTGATGCTTTTCGAAGCCGAGAGAGCAAGCGATTGATAGAGGGCGAGGCGAGATTGCCGTGTATGGCGACAGTCCGATGTTCTAGCTCAACGCTATGGAATCAGGTCAGCCTCAACCCAGATGTATACGAGTGCCTAATTCTCGACCTCCTATGTTGGGGCGATATAGCCCTCGATCCGGTTTTGCAAGTGCTGATAATTGCCTCAAATATGCTCCGATCCTTGACACGCACGTGGGGGAGGGAAATCCTGGCTCCACTTTTCGCATGTCCCATGCTTGCTAGTCTCGTATACGGAGATATCTTCATGACTGGAAATACCATACAGGAGCGCTATGGTAAGGTAGGATCATTCAGTCACGTCAGACAGCGTGATTGGCTTGTTTTGGTTCAGCTCCTGGCAGACGCGGCTGTGGGCCTGGGTCACTGGATGAGACAGTAAATCAATTGAAAAGGAGCTTTCCTTACCTGCAAATCCAGCCGATTTTTATATCGGTGCCCTTATCTGGTGCAATCGCACATCTCTAGTACGACACAGTTCATTAATTCGTCTGCAGCACATCCCTGGGTTGAATCACAATCGCCCTTTGTGAAATCGGCATTGCACAGAAGATCTAGATTGTACCCTACAGCTGCCCCATCACAGTGCATCATGCATTTCCCCGACAGCATGTCTCACAAGGCTAGCATGGATGTGGAACGTACACATGGCAGCCCTCTTGACGGCCTTGGCCCGAACGACGACAACTTCACCAACACTGCGCAAAATCATGAGGCGGTTAGGGAGATCTCGCGTCTCATCTTGGGGATCATTCTCGAGTATGCGCTCAACAAGTTTGACCATGCAAAAGTTCAATCCGAGGAAGTTGCGAATAACTTCCTGCCGATCATTGACCGATTCGTTGCTGCAGGGACGCGGGTAGAGGCTTGCCTCCCCGCATTCCCGTTCAAGTCGGCCAACAAAGTATACAAGGTCCTCGGTAGCCTACCCGATAAGGCTGAAGAGCTGGCCCTTGACCGCTTGAATAGCATGTGCGCGCGCATTCGGCAAGTCTACTCACCTGGCGCACAGGTCACTATCATCTCGGATGGCATCACATACAATGGTACGTTAACAGTATCTGCATTCGATCCATCTGGACTCGGTTCAGTTAGGAGCATGGGCTAATGCAGTGGAGCCTTAGATCTGTTATGCATATCTGATAAAGACACATGGGCTTACGGAGAGGCTCTACGCAAGATGGCCGTCCAGAAACACTTCAACTACATCGTCTTCTCCAGAATAAGTGACCTGCTCGATTTCCCTGTGCCGGAAAAGATGAGTGAAATCGTCTATGTCGCTAACTGTACCACGTTCCGCCGCTTGCTGCTAAATAAGTATGGAAGAGCCGACCTTAACATTGACCACGAGATTGCTTCGAATCCAGATACAAAGTTGACCTATCTCGGATACAAGAGATTTCTGGAGTCCGATTTGAAGCACATCTTTCCTCGAGGGGCAGATCGATCTGCTCACAGCTACAAGCGAGATTGCAAGTACCTTGCTAGGCAGATGCTGATCAGAGGAGACGTGAGTTGAATGGCTATCGAGTCTATGTTGGCTTGCTCTCTGACGTTTCATTCTCCACAGGCTTTTGCACAGGCGATCAAAAACTGTTTCCCCAACCATTTGCGGCTTTCCATCCACGAATCAGTAGGCGGCACTAAGCTGTCGATATCTCTGCTGAATACGAAGACCGGGTTCACCACTCCATGGCACTGCAGTGTCGCTCGGCTGGCCGATGGGGAGTGGATCAGTGCTCCTATGGGCGAATTCAGTAAGGACGACAGGCTGGAGCTCGTGTACGAGGCCGGCCGGCCCAGTCACTTCAGGGAGAAGCCGTGGGAGGGGGACGCTTGCGGCATCAGCGAGACAACGGCGAGCTATCTCCAAGAAGCCAGACCACTTAGCACCAGTGAATATCTCAGCAGAGCTTTTACACCACCGGTCACTGTCTCACCCGCTATGCCTTCGCCCAGTGATCTTTCCATTTTCACACCTAGTGGGAGCGTGGGAGGCAGCGCAGCCAGCACTCCAGAAACACAGTCTCCTCCAGGCTTCGCATTGAGCGGTCTGGGGATTGTCGTGGAGGACAAGTTGAGCAATGATTCATTTCCGGAACAGATTTCTGAGACTGCTTCAGTACCATATGGCAACAGGCTCATCCCGCAGATCATGGACCGCTTGGCTGCTGCCGAGCCGGGGCGTATTGTTTTCTCACTGGCAACATTATCCGGCGACTCACTTGAGTTTAGGCATGTTTCCGCTCGCGCCTTCACCAAGGCCGTTGACAAGACCGCTTGGTGGCTTCAGAACCAGGTTGGCAAACCCGACTCGATCCAGGCTCTGGGCTACATCGGACCACGTAAGTTGGACAAAGAGCATCTACCTTGCTGAGCCTTGATAGATTGAAAGGCACTAACCTTGGGGTTGAAAAAGATGATCTACGACACATTCTGCTGACCTATGCATGTGTCAAGGCTGGCTACGCGGTAAGTTTATTAACACATCACTTGGACTCATCCTGCGCCTCTTCAACCGGCTGACGAAGGCTTGCTTGCCATAGGCCTTGTTCCTGTCGCCAAAGAATAACACGGAAGGGGCACTCGCAGTCCTCGACGCAACAAAATGCAATATCTGGGTCAATGCTTGCGAGGCATCCCCTGTCCCTTTGGTCAAGGAGGTCCTTCAGAAACGCCCCATGAACGTTCTGCAGCTCCCTCTGCTCGACGAGCTTCTCGATGCCATGTCCACCGAGGCTTTTCCGTATACCAAGACGTTCGACGAAGCCATCAACGACCCATTCTGTTTCCTGCATACATCTGGGACCACGGGAGTGCCCAAGCCGATTCCTTGGACTCACGGGCTGATCGGCACCATGGATGCGGTGCGACTACTACCACCTGTTGGGGGCAATGATGATTTGCCCCCGTGGACGTCTGATTGGAAGCCAGGTGATAGTATCTACTCATCATTCCCTATGAGCCACGTAAGTAGATGTAACGTTTTTTTTTTTTTTTTCGCTGGGGTGCTGTGATATGGAGAAAGAATCCCGACTGATTGCCATGAGGATAGGGTGCCGGTATTATCATGGATATTCTGATGCCCGCCCTCTTTAACTTACACTGCATCTTGGGACCAGCGGACGTCCTGCCTAATATCAATCTGGTGGAAGCTCTTGCAGAGAATGCCAAAATTGATATCTGGAGCATGGTGCCGTCCCTGGTCGACGAGTTGGGCGAGACGCCTGGAGTATTGGCAAAGCTCAAGTCATCGAAATTCATTTGTGCATCTGGCGGTCCCGTCAGTCCAGTCAGCGCTGGCAAGGTAAATGAGGTAATAAGAGTGCTGAACTTGACTGGCACAACAGAGGGTCTGTTTATTGGGAACCTCATACCACCAAGAGAGGATTGGGTTTGGTTTTGCTTCCATCCGTACTCCGGCTTCGAGTTCAAGGAAGTCGAGGCGGACACATACGAGCATTGGGTGCATCGCAACGAGCACTGGCCTCTGTTCCAGGGCATCTTCCATACTTTCCCAAATGAGCAATCGATTAACTTCAAGGACCTGTACATGAGGCATCCCACCAAGCCCAATTTGTGGGCCTTCAAGGGAAGAAGCGACGATCTCGTCGTGCTGTCCAACGGATACAAGATATCGCCCCTAGAGACGGAAACCTTCATCACCACTCACCCTGCCATCAAGGGATGTCTGATTTTCGGAACGGGGAAGCCCCAGGCAGGTCTCCTTATCGAGTTGAAAGAACCGTCGCACAAGACCGACGAGCTTCTCGACAGCATTTGGGAAACAGTCAAACAGGCCAACTCCATGTCTCGACACAAAAATCAGCTGCTGAGGGACTTTGTCACTTTTGCAGAGCCTGACAAGCCCTTTTTCCGCACAGACAAGGGCACGGTGAAACGGTCCGCCACCCTGAACCTTTACGCCGACTACATTGAGCGTTTCTACAGCTCACGTAGTGACGATCTCGCCGACACCTTCACCTTCGACATGAGCTCGAACAATTCAATCCAGGACTTTATTCGCCAGATCCTCGCCTCGTCACTCCCTGACATCCAGGAAGCCTCTCCAGACGCGGACCTGTTTGCTCTTGGGCTGGACTCCCTCGGTGTCTTTGCGGCCATCAAGACGATCCGGGCAGCTACAGGGCTAGGTGATCGGCTCGGTCCCCGCCACATCTACGCCAATCCAACCATCACCCAACTCTCTGATGCAATCACGCTTCTGGCAGCCGAGGCGAAGAGTGCAAACAAAGCCGCCTCATCTAACGAGTCTGTTGACAATGACGTGGCTACTATGAAGAACATGATTGCTCAGCACAAGGCGCGGCAGTCGTTCAGCTTGAACGCATTCGACTATGTCAACCCGAACCACGGCATGGGCTTGGTTTTCTACTTCCCAATACGCGAAGCAGTCAGCTACGAACAGGTATTTGTCAATCTACAGGAGGGCCTCAACCGCACATTCGATCTGATTCCAGCTCTCAGCGGCAAGATAATGAACTGCTCGGAGCAAGTGATCGGCTACACCAAAGGGGACCTCTGCGTCACGATTCCCCCTCTTTCAAAGGCAGCCTCTGTCCGCAATCGCCTGGTCTACAAGGACCTCTCTGCTGTTCTCCCGTCATTCGACAAGTTGCGTGAAGGAGGCTTCGCGCCGTCTGCCTTCAAGGACAGTCTTGTCCTCCGAGATGATCCTTTCCCCAAAATGCCCGCCGATATTTTCGTCGGGCAGGCCAACTTCGTCTCTGGTGGCTGTATTCTTGCTGTCGACCTCAATCATTGCTGCCTCGACGGCCTCGGTGCCATGGTCGCTATCAAGGCCTGGGCTGAGAACTGCAGATATTTGCAGGGCGATAAGTCGGCGAATTGTAGCTGGTATGACCCCGAGAGCTTCAACCACAGCCTGCCAGAAATTATTCATGAGCAAGAAGGCTGGGCCCGACCGCTCCACGAGATCGATCCTGGTACATGGGATTTCTTGCCCTTCTTCCCCCCCGATGATGAGAATCAGACCAATGGTACATCTGTCGAGAAGACAACGGCGAAGACGACGGTTGATGGCGAATTCCTCGTTTCCCAGAAGGCTTCGAATCAAGGAGCCGTTCCCCCTCGACCCATTTTCCCCCTACATCCTGTCTGGCCGCTGCCTCGCGCTGAGAGATGCCTGAAGACGACCATGTTCCTTATCACACCCGAGAAGCTGGAGAAGATGAAGAAAGACGTCATAGCCGACCCCGAGGCCAAGGGGGTCATCAATTCTATTAGTGACATCGTGCAGGCCTTCTTCTGGCGTGCCGCCATCAGGGCCCGATACCGCGTGGCCACGGAGTTTCGCAAGCAGACTTTCGGGCCCGACGACGTGTCCATTCTCGAGCTGCCTACCGACGGCCGCCCATATTTTTCCTCCCTGTTGCCGTCGACATACATGGGCAGCTTGCTCATCCTCAATCGATCGAGCATGCCCATCGAGACACTCTGCTCTGATGATACAAGTATCGGACGAGTCGCGTTCCTGCTCCGCCAGTCCTCTGCGCGCATCACCCCCTCGCTCGTGCACGACGCGTTTACAATCCTGCAGTCACTTCCCGACCACAGCAGATTCTCGACCGCCAATATGGGCCTCGAGCACATGCACGCCATGATTTCCAATATTCTGCTATTCCCAACCAGCGAGATCTGCTTTGGAGACACCTTTTTCGCCAACGGAGGTTTGCCTGAGTCCATGCGGCCGCAGCTCGAGCGTGGCAATGGCCGTTTTCGGTTCTTGGTCATCTTCCCGATGAAGAAGGATGGAGGTGTGGAGCTTGTCTTGGGCACGCACCAAGAAGAGTTGGAGATGTTCAAGACGGACGAGGAATTTACGAAGTATGCGGACCTTGTACACACCTGTTGCTAAGCATACATTGGATTTGTGTTGGTTGCATCACGTCTTGAATTCGAAACTGTATAGATACACATACTTTATCGTATCCGTATATGGCTCCATTCTCTGTCTGTTTCCTAGCTGGGTAGTACGAGTCTTGCATCGACACCTTTCATAGCAGTGCTGAACTGTGGTGAATATATGAGCTTGGTATTTGATACTTAAGTGCCTCTATCGGCAGCACTCGGAGCGTGTTGGTCTTTGCTCTTAGCCTTCCGATATGTTGACGTTCCCTATGCATCTCGAATTCTCAACACTAATCTCATCCGACATTCAACATCCTTAAAAAGGCCAATTGAGCTGTAACCAGTTCATTGCACGTAATACTGGAGTCATGCATTTTCTCAATCTTGGTTTTGAGCCCAACTAATTACCAGACTCGCTTGCTACACAGGTACTCAACTCACAGAAAGCGGTTGTTCTAGACGCTCATACATCATTTACACTTTCACATGTTACTCTGTGCACACCTGTTTATCAAAGCTTCGCTTATTACCCTCATGCAACTACAATCACATGTGGAGATAGTGGGGTCGCAGCTCTGCGCCGAAGTGGCGAGCGCTGTGCCCTTGGGATACAAGTATCAGCGTTCTTCATGATTGCTGAGGTGTCTTTGTTTGAGAAAGCAATAATCTCTGCTTTCTCTGTGAGTTGTTAGATCAAATCTGCGATCCTCTGTCCGGCCAGCTATTGCACCGTCTTAGGGCATTCTTACTTGGACAAGCCGAACAATATGGGACTCTTCAACAACCTGGTCATCTGGTTCTACGAAGTCATTCAGTTCTTCATTGCGCAGGTGTTTGCCCCGAATCCCCGCCAACCACGGCAAAAGGTTTTTGGACCTCGCATAGCAATCATCGCGGCCGGTATAACGGGGGTATCGTCTGCTGCTCACTGCGTCGGTCATGGCTTCGATGTGACTTTGTTTGAGGCTAAGGGCCGTGAGCACTTGGGCGGAATCTGGAGCGTGAGGCAACCCACTCCCCATCATTGATAATCCGACAGAAATATTGCAAGTAACTGACCTGCGACTTCATCCAACAGCAAGTGAACAACACGTCCAGTCTCCAGATCCACAGCGTTATGTATCGATTCCATCCGTCTGTCCGGTTCAAACAAAACTATCCTGATCGGCAGGGGATCCTCAGGGAAGTCACGCATCTGTGGGAGCGCTATGGGCTCCAGAGTAGGACCGAATTCAATGTGTGTGTAGAGTCCGTCTGGCGTGATAAGGAAAGCGGGAAATGGTATGTCCAGCACCAGTCCTATGGACAGTTTGATGGTGTAATCTCTGCCGTTGGCACCTGTGGTGATCCCAAGATGCCCCACATCCCCGGTCAGGAAAACTCTCAAGGTCAGATTTACCATTCGTCCAACCTGACCGGCAAGGACGTCAAGGGCAAACGATTGCTCGTGGTTGGCGGCGGAGCCAGTGCAATCGAGGCAGTCGAATTTGCAGTCTCGAAACAGGCAGCAAAGACAAGTATCCTTGCCCGCGTGAGTTTCTGTGATCTGGATTGAAGCACAATCCAAAGACATCAGCGATGCTAATCAGACTCTAACAGACAAACAAATGGATCATCCCTCGCAATCCCTTCATAGACGGCTTGCTAGCGTTGAATATCTTTGGAGAGGAGACCAGCCTTGGCTGGGTGCCTGAGTGGCTTCTAAAAAAATTCTTCTATCGGGATCTCAGTGATTTAGCCCCAGCCAAGGCCGGTTTGTACACTGAGACGCCCATGGTAAACAATGATATTCTCGAGCAAGTCCGCTCGGGTCGGATTGCCTGGCTGCGCGGCGACATCAAGGAGTTCCAGGAGAAGGGCGTTCTGTTCAACCACCGCGAGAAGGGTATCGCGAGGAGTTGATTGAGGGTGATATTTGTGTCATGGCAACGGGATTCCAACGACCAACCCTGGCGTTTCTGCCCCATGAATGCTTCAGTCCACCCTACAGTCCACCCAATTGGTTCATCCAGGCATTCCCAGCAGGTCATTCGGATCTCTGCGCAATCAATTGCACCTATGTCAACGCTATTGGCACAGTTGGAAATATTCACATCGGTCTCTACACACGCTTGCTGCTCATGTTCATTGTCGACCCTAGCACCAGACCCTCACTGGCCTGGATGCATGCGTGGGTTGACTGGACGCGAGCGTGGAAACAGGGTTCTCCTGGAGGCGCTCTTGAGTTCTTTACATACAGTGAGCTTGTTGGGTGGATAGTCCTAAGTCTCGCGTCTAATCCTTTCCGCTGGAAGTGGATACTCTTTGTGCTGGGTGGCTGGGGCAATCCTCTGCCGCCATCGATGATGCATCAAGAAGGTAGCCCTCAACAGAGGTCAACAACTGCAGATGGTGCTGCTGAGAAACCTAAAGCAGCAAACCGCAAGAGCCACAAGCCAAAGAATAAGACAGAGACGGATGGCACAGCATCCGACGGGCAGAAAGCTCAGAATGGCATGGGTGATGCTGGTCATAAAATGAATTCTGGACTGACAGGTGAGAATGAAGACAAGCCAGCATCTGGTCCTGCGAAAAGTGGTGTTTACAGTGAAGCAGTGCCAGCCTTTGTCACTTGAGCATAGAGTGCTTAATGAGGGACCAGGACGCCCAGACTGCTGGATCAATGCTAGTTGGATTTATAGCTGAAGTATTACTGGTCGGATTTCCGCAGATACTATATTTGCAGTGGACTATTTATATACATGGGTCACATTAAGCTGTACCAAAGAGGCTGCAGAACAGAACATCAAGTATATAGGCCACTATAGGCCAGAATGAGGCTCTAAATTTATTAGGATGTAATTGTTCATTGTAAATAGACATAGATGGAGATAGGTAGTAGATATCCCGCATATCACCGGAGGCGAGGGGTCAGGGTATGGATACCACCACCACCACCGTAACTTGTTTACCTATCTAGGTTCCTATAATCATAAGTCGAATCCACAATCGAATTCAGCTTCTAAATGACGCCTTAGGCGCGGTTTTAGATTTATTGAGTATCATAGGTATACTGCTGCCTGCTTGAGAAGCGTACCATGGATTTGTATCCCATACTCCAGGAGTCGATCATGAACATAATCCAGCAAGAGAATATGTTACTAACATATTTACTCACAAGATCTTATGGATATTTGACAAAAAACTTCATCACAGTCTTGTCTTTTCTCTCTTCACTCCGTCGTATAGCCGACTAGTCAAACAGTGCACGTCCTGGTCAGAGACAGGTTTTTTCCAGGAAGCACGGTTTATCATCTGTCGTGGCTTTGTATTTCTCCCAGGTGGTCATTTTGTCAGCGATTCCCAACTGGCCATCCATAGGCAGATCGCGCGGAATATACTCTTGCCCGGTCTGGATTGCATGAAGCGCCCTTTCGTATTCCTCATAGGTATGGACCTGGCAATTGTGGTTCAGGATCCAACCTGGGCGTGAGCTTTTCATTGAGGTTGGATCTTTTGCCACAGCATCCCAATCTTGGTTGTACCATTCGTCATGTACTACTCGGCTTGATTGCTGGATGATGGTAGCTCTAGGTTTCCTGGAGAAGGGCATATGTCTGTTAGTGCATCCTTCGCCTTTTCTCTTTTAGGGCATCTATCCTACCTAATTTTCTCAGCAATCTGCAGGGCCAGAGGCACATTAGACTTGCCGGCCAATTCCAAGGTGATTGCAATCGCTGCTGCATCCTCAATAGCCTGACTACCTCCCTGGCCGAGGATAGGAAGTAAGGCATGCGCAGCATCACCAATCACAATCATCCTCCCACCTGATGAGACCCAAGTCTTGAGGGGTGCTCGCATCGCCAGCGGATGATGAAGCGTATTCTCTTGGGGTGCATACTTGAACACTGCCTCAAACTTGGATCGGATTGGCCAATCTGACATTAGGTGTCCCACGTCATCCAGATTGTCCGGCAGTTTTCCAAGCTTTTGGATCGCATTCTCGCCCTTAAAAAAATGCCCTGTTATCACGTGTCGTCACCTTAAGGAAACGAATAGGGTAAAAAGAGGTGTCCTACATTGTACATGGCCACTAGTACAAAGTCCCGGCCATTTTCAAAGGAGGAAAACCCAATTTCCAACCCTGGACCTTTGAAAATCTTTCCAAGGTCAGTTTCCTCAGTGCCTTCAAGCAGCCATTTTGCCTCAGAATCCATTGCTAGCTCCTTGGTTGCAAAAGAGGTTCTGAAAGCATGCTCCGCAGTGGGGATAAATGGTGGGTCTTCTTTCAGGATTAACTGCCTGCCTTTACTGTTGATACCATCACAGCAAATCACACAATCTGCAGTGTACTGTTTCCCATTGACAATCACTCCTGCTTCATCTTCGCTTTCCCAGTAGTCTGAGACTTCAGCCTCAGGGCCAACGTGCAAGTCTATCCCAAGGCTCTTCGCATGTTCAAATAGAACGGATGCTAATGTTGACCGCAGGACCCAATACCCATCATTCTTCTGGACACCGGTCATGTCAGCTGGCACAATTGGTTTGCCAGACTTGTCACATATCAGCGTTGAGCCAGTGCCGTTTTTGATGTTGTAGAGTATTTCGTGAATGGCACCATTGCCCCATTTACTGACCACTCTTGCCGAGTTGGTGGAGAGGCCAAGCAAGTCCCCCTCTAATTAAGTCCATTGTTTGCATGGAGAGAAGTTTCGAGGCCCCTGATCCGAGCCTTGGAGTTCTCACTTACTTGTCTGTGTATGAACCGGTCTTTTATCAAAAGCCCTAACTGTATGTCCTTTCCGATGGCACTCAATAGCAGCGGCCAAACCACCAATTCCAAGCCCAACTACGATCACCCTGATACCAGAGGAATGTGGCGGAGCGACCCCTGCGGGACCGGATGAGCTTGAAACAGTCATGATTCTCGGGATGTGTCTGAGAGGAACTTCCAAGGTGCGATAATTGAGCAATTTAAAAATGAGCTGTTTGGGGTAGTAAACCAGTTGACCATGGGAGGTTTGTGGTGTATTTTATAATAACAGTCCGTGCCTAACAGGAGGAAAAATCTTCAAAAAGTGGGTGATTAGACGGGAAGACTACTTCTCGCATGTTCAGACTGAATGTGAAGTAAAACTGCCTCTGTTTGCTTGGATATGACAAAAGAAAGGGGAGTGATTGTATACAATGATTGTTGCATTGCATTGCATATATGATTTTACAGCCGGGATGATGCATGATTTCGACAGTATATGTCTCCAGCAAATCATCCTAGCTCAAGGAAGGCAAGACGCGTAATGAAGTTGGCTTGGCCGGCTTTATCGAATTATCATGGATGGTATCCTACGTAATCAGTACCTTTAGCTGCCTTCCATATGCCAAGTTATCAATAATTGGCGAACTCAGCTTCTAGCGCCCATTCCCCTATAGCAGCGCCTGGGGAATGCGGTGTCAGCCTACATCTATGGATAAGCCACAGGATACTTCTGTCAACAAGTTGACCAGCTTTGACCCTAAACAGAGTTTTTTGTAGAGCTGAACGGAAATTGGTCGCCTAGAATGAAAGGATGTGGTATGTATTGACAGACATGTATGACCAGTTGGGTACTAAACTCCTGACTGCCAGTTCATACAATTAAATAATAGAGCAATGCATGATGGTATCTGCATGATCTCAATTTGGATTCAGTTGCATGCTACAAAGAGAGCTGCCGCATTGACCATGATTTTCAAGGAGCCTTTTTGAAGTACTAAATAACACTTTCAGAACAATAATGGTATCTTTGGAATGTGGTAGGCCATGGACGAAATACATGTTCTGATTGGGTCGTGCTCACTGGATACTTGTTCCAGACCAATGTCTGGGTTGCACAGCAGCATGCAAGGCTTGTAGTAGGCAGTATGTAGTCTCTCAACTGAATCACAGGACCTAGCGCTTGTACTTCCCTGGCTATGGCCTTTAGTAATGAGCAGAAACTTCACTGAGATATCACAGTGACACAGGGCCATGGAGGATCACCATCCTATCAGGAACCAACTTGCATGGCATCAACACAAGTCTTGCCAGTCGACCCTTGCATGCATACAGTCATCCAACGTCACTTTCAGTCGCAACCATAAGCAGTGGCTGCCTCCGCATGGGATGGAGACTTTAGCTACGAAGACTTGAATGTCCAATCCTCAAAGCTAGCAAAACCACTGTCCAGCCATGGTGTCGGACCGGAGGACTTGATCCCTCTATTTTTCAAGAAGTCCCGACGGTCCGTTGTTCTTGGCGTTCTAAAGGCAGGCGCCGCATTTGACCTACTTGACCAATTGTATCCCATTCATCGTTTACGCGAGATTTATCAGGAGCTGGCCTTGATGTTGTGGAACCGAGGCGCTGTGGTTGATGAACACAGCGAGACAACACACACGATAACAGGGTTTCCTAAAGATCGATCTCGAGTCAAACCCTCCAACGCTGCCTCCGCCGTTTTCACCTGTGGAACTACGGGCAAGCCCAAGGGGTTCGTGATTTCGCATTCCGCATTTGTGATGATGGCTCTTGCGCAGATTGAGTTGATACCTGTACAACCCGACTTTCGAATTCTGCAATTTTCATCCTGTACCTTTGACACCAATATACAAGACCAACTGGTCTCGTTGATGGCGGGAGACGAATCTGTATCCCTCAGAAATAGACCGACAAAGCGACCTGGAGGGATATATCACGCACTATCAAGCCAATGGTGCCTTTTCAATCCACCGGCGGCCAGGCTTTTGTCACCAGAGAGGGTTCACTCACTGAAAGTCCTCACGCTCGTGTCATTACACAGTCTCATTATGTTGATTTGCTTGGGATATATGGTCCGGCGGAGTGCTCTGTGACAAGTACGCTTAATTTCAACTTGAGCTGTTCAAATCTAAAGAATAATGGCCTCCCAAACTCGCTGGCTACAATGGAAAGGTCTTTCCTGCGTTGTCCAGAGCCCAGGTCACCACCCGGTAGACAATTGCAAGCTCGAGTTTCGCCTGCCACTACTGGCTGGGAAAAGCTCGGATCATTCCATATTGCCCATTGAACTGCACCTTGCGCTTGCCATCGTTCTATCCCGTGCTACAGATTCTCCCGATGTTGTTTTTGGTGAGGTCTTTGCGAGACGGGGGGCGCCCGTGGCCGGGATCACTGAGATGTTGGGACCAACGACCGGTGTCTTACCCGCACGGATGGAATTGGATGTGCAATAGAGCCTTCTGCGGAAACAGCAGACAGTCCGGAAGCAGCTATTGGAGTTGGCGCATTTTGAAGATGCGGACATGCCACAGATTCGAGACCTGAGTGCAGAGGCGGTCGCCGCTTGCAACATCCAGACCATCTTTGTGGTCCTGCCCGACCTCATAAAGTACCTTGACGCCATGTTTTCACAAACCTCGCAATATCAAAACCAGCTGTTGCATTCAGGTTTGGTATTATCATGCTTGTTGTCAGAAGCAGAAAGAGTGGTCTACTCTGTATATGGCGTGAATCTTACAGGAATGCAGTATCCAAGTTCAAGTTGTTGTAATGTCTGCCATATATTCTGCATATCGAAACTCAAATTGACGAGACATTGAATTGAAATAATACGTATTTGATATATCAATATATATAGGGGGATGATATAGCGACACCCCCTGGCGCCTTAACGACACCCCGTAGGTTCCAGCGACAGCCCCCCTTACCTGATTGGGTAAGGTTTGGTCATGTGATCAATGTGAATTTGGTGTCAGGATTCCATCCCGTTTAGGTTTAGCGTCCCGACTTAGTCAGCCTATATATAGTTGGCCCCTGAGCCATCCTAATTGGACACTTGGCGCTTCCCGATTCTCTCAGGTTATGGCCCTATGT